AAGTTTTTTAAGAATAATTAATTATTAATGTATTGTAACAAAAATATAAATAATATGGCTTTTATTACGATTTTTCTTTTTAGGAAAAACCCATCTACCCATTTTTTGTTTAATAAATGTAATTTTATTTTTCTTTATTAATAAAACATAATTAATATTTCTATAAATATATTTTATTTCCATTTGTCTGAATGAACTTTATATTTCCTGATTTTTAATTTTTGTTCAACCTATGTTTACTTCAGATGAAAAATTCCTGTTTAATAAACACCCATTCCCTAAACTTAAAACATTAAAACATAAAGAACACGTCAAGTTCAATGCCTGTCTCCGAGAAAGTTTCGCAATAAAAATGAAAGCGCATTTTTTTTTGGCTTTTGTTGTCTACATGAAATTGATTAATTTATTTTTATGTTCATATGTTTGTGTTTGCGTTTGGTTATCCATTTGCTTTTAGCGCCTTTGTCAGAGCACTTGAAATGCTTTTGTGATATATTTTATATCGGCCAGACAGCATCTAGCCGTAGATTTATGTATTCTCTATTTTGTATACAGTGTATTCTGTGTATTCCGTGTATTCTGCGTGGCGAGCGGACAGTTGGCCATTCCATTAAATGGATTGCCCTTGCTCATCGTATTTCATTTTTCTCAGTTTACATTCAATTTGCTTTCGACAAGCAATGGCCGCAATGCTGTTTGAGCCAAAACATTTGGTTTCACTTTGCGCATAATTAACTTTTGCAGTTGCCGTCTTTACAAACACTCGCATTCGTTCTGTTTCGTTTCGTTTATTTATGTATATATATCAATATATCAATTTGGAAATTTTAGGGGATTATCGTGAATGCCCCGGGATAATTGTGCATAAATTTCGTTCATAATATGTGTTTACGCAATTTGAATTACACAATTTGTTGGAAAATATTATTACATTTAGCGTTACATTGTGGGAGTCGCAGGATTAAACTTAAAAATGTGTTGGTGTGTTTATTATTTAAATTATTGTTAAGAATAAACTGTTGAAGAATGTTGCTTAGACGATATATAGAATTTTAATCCAACTTTGAATTTTTCACTTTGCTATAAATTCATTAAATAAAATGTCATTATTTTCAGATCCATTGTGCTAATCTGCTAATTAAAAGTTTAAAATCTCAAATCATGGCTAAAATTTTTCATATAGCTTAGCAATTATTTCATGACCCCATTGAAAGTTTTATTTTTTCTTGCCGCGTTTGCTTTCCCGCTACGTACCACGTTGCGTATGAGTAATGAGCACAAGCATTCGATTTCGCGCTCTTGAAACGATGCCAAGCGTGCTCAGACAATGGACCATTGGCGTTGCCGGGACGAGGGAAATCGGTTAAGCGGAAAACGGAGAGCGTTGGGGGGGGAAAGCACAGCTAGACGCAGACACAGACGCAGCGACGGCAAACGGACAAAGCCATTGCCAAAATAGCAAAGTAATTGCAAATCGCCAAAACTCGTGTGCAGTCAGAGCGATGGAATGTGTGTACGTATATAAATAATTCGGGACCTCCTGCCCGAGTTGTATTTATAGTGCAGATTGATATAGTTTCGCACTCTCTCCTCTAGTTGTTTGCCTGACGTATGCCAGCACCCCGTGATGATGGCGTTCACTTGCTGATTACGCATACGCACTGCTGTGCCGCCGAACCTAATTAAAACGGGCAGGCTGTCGGCCGCCCGCTCTCCCCTCATTTGCGGACGCGTGTGCGCCTAATTGTCAGCAGAGTGCACTCCCTCCTTCAGACGAGTTGCTCAGTTACTTAAATGTAATTGCACACAAGTGCAATTAAACAGCTTGACACACACGGCGCAAATTTCCACGCTGGGAAAGTCGGGTCGGAAAACTGCCAGCGAGCGAGAGCTGTCAGGTCGAAAGGAGCAGCAGCAGTGCTGTCTTCTTGGCCATTAATTCCATTAGGGAATATGCATTTTCCCAGTCAGAGTTTACTCCTCACAGAGGCTGTGGTTCAAGGACACAACGTGGAATTAACTTGAAAGTTTCCCTTTCTTAATTATCCTACCGAAATGTACTTAAAGTTTTAACTCTTTACTTAATTTAAAGGATGGTTAAGGGCGCTTTAAAGGTCTTCAATAAAAATCTTGGTAAACTTCACATTAAACTTATGACCTTTTTTAGGGGTTTCCTCCTTGAGGCTATACCCTATTTAATGCCTTTCTTGTCTTCACACTCAACACGTTTTTATATGTACTTGCAATTATTTGATGGTTTTATCGCTTTGTTCTTTGGTTAGGCATCACTGGCATCGACCACCTCCTTGGCCATTTCTGCAGTTTGTCTTCATTCATCTCCAGGCAGAATCGCCTCCTAGTCGTAAATTTTAAATGGTTTTGTAGGTCATTGCTGCCGAGATGGAAAACGGAGCGAAAAGCGCAAGAACAAGACCAAACTTTGATCTGAACTTTTGCCAAGCGAGTCTTTTGAACTGCTGCAGCCTCCTCCTCCCCTCTTTTCTTCTCGAAAGAAAGACGAAGCAAAATTTATGCGCCCGGCTGCGTCGGTCAGCGAAATGGCGCCAAGGTTCAAAGCACTGAACAAAGGTTGGGTGCCACTTAGTGGCCCACTCCCCCTGGCCACATGATTGAGTTTGGGACGCGCTCTCCTACCCCCGCCATGTTGCAGTTTTTCCTGGCCTTGGCCAGGGCTGCCTGGTTGGGCATTCAATTTTATTGCAAATTGTTTGCAACAGTGTTTGAACTTTGCTTCCCAGCGTCGTATTTTTGTTTTTCGGCCATGCAAAACATGTCGCAACGTACAAGGCACCGGAGCCATAAAAAAAATGTTGCTGCACTGCAGCCTACCGGGGGTAACAGGGTGTGCGTACATGGAAAAGTGTTTGCCCATCACGTATACGAAGTGTGTAACGTTGAAGTAACAACAGCGAGGGCAGCGAGGAAAATTCAACAAGGTAGGTGCTTTATTGCGTTTAAAATTAAGAGAAATTTATGTAATTGTAATTCGTAACTTTAAATAGAAATTTTAAAATGAAAGTAAGACTTGTATTTAATAGGAAAATTTATAAACCACAGCCTTTTTTAATCTAGTTTTTCTTGCTTTTCATTAAGCTTCAATTGAAAACTAAATCTCTTAGTATTCACACTTGGGAAATACCCATTCATTATGCTGATTTCCTGAATGATTGCTACCGAAATCCTCAATCGCATGTTCAGCTCATTCAAAATTCGAATTACTTCACAGCCCTCGAGGAGCGAACACCGACAGGCAGTCACTTATTGCATGCATTTGCCAAAAACAATGCACATTCGCACACTCGCACACTCGCTCCCAGCCACACACAACCGCCGAGCCATAACAAATTTACAGACAATTCGCAGTGCTCGAAAGTGCAAAGCGGCGAAAATGTTCAGTTTGGATTTATTGTTATGCGAATCTCTCTATATATATATAAATATATGTGTAAATATATATGTAAATATATAAATATATGTTGGCTCTATGTATAAGGAGAGCGCCGCGAGTGTGTGTGTGAGTTGGCAATGCGGCGCAATGCATTACAATTAATTTGGCACACACGGCGTATGCTGAATATTTGGCTCAGCGTAGCTTTCGGCTCTCTGCAATTGAGTAAATCCGTGGCAATTGGCAATTATACAAATTCTCTTCATAGACAATTGCCCGTAGCAGGGCCTGAGCAGCATATACATATGTACATATGTGGGTGGATTTGGATAACCCATCCCTGGGCGTGGGTGATTGATGATTCGACCTCCGATGATGTGACAAAGTGGCAGCTTCGCAGGAGAGGTGCTTCGAGGTCAGGTCAAAGGTCTGTTGAACTTTAAATGCCGCTGCGACATTTGCATTTGAGCTTTAAATTCCACAAGCAGGAGATGGATGAATGAATATGAATTACTGTCAGCTTGCCACACATTGGAGCATTACACTGAGCGATGAGCTTGAATGTAAATACAATTTGTAACAAAGAAAATCTGGATAAAGTATTAGGAAAATAAGAATAAATAGAAAGCAGGGATAGACATATGTATGAAGACTAAACATTCTATTATTAAATGCAATTGGAGCATAATAAATAGTTTTATCTTAAATATTTCACATTAAATAAATCCCACTAATTCTCTTAGTGTACTCACCCATGTGCTTGTCACCCAAAAGGAGACGGCATTGGGATGGCACGATGGCTTTGGTTATGGCAGCACGAGGAACCACCGGCAACCACCAACGCCTCCAATGCCGATGATTGAGCTAATGGCACCACTGACAGCCACAAGGAGCACGTGGTGAGGCGGTACGAGGGGGGGATCAGATGGGAGATGGGCGGTTCTGCAGGTGTCACAACAATAAGGCGCACGCTTTTCATGTATCAACTCGTTCTACACATTCCACCCGGGGGAATCCGGCAGCCCAGCCAGAACTTCAAACGCTTCGGCGGGCGCTTCGTTTATTTACACAAAATTAGTTTATGGTCGATGGAAGAACGGGAAAACAGAAGCCATTCGCAGGCACTTAAAAAGCGCTACCCGTTTATTATTTCAATAATTTTTCGGCGGCTCTCTTTGACGCACAACCAATGATTCCGATTTCGAATCCGTATCTGTATCTGGGCAACTGCACCGTGTGAATCGGAGGCGGCAACTAAGCGACTCGAAGTCTTCTGGCGCTGGCACATCCCAAGTGCCAAGTGCACGCCTTGCGATTTGTTTATCCATCTGCTGCCGCTGCGTGTGCGTGGACCCGTAAGTGAGCGTTATTAATTGCAATAAATGGTGCCGGCGTGGGCGTGATTTTATTTCTTCGTCTGGTTGTTATGGCTTCTGATTTTGACTAAGATTAACCGATTCCAAATTCAAATAATTCGCGCCTTGTTCACTGTCTATCGATGAAGGAAGGTTGTCGGTTAGATAAATTCCAATTGTGCAACACTGGTGGCTTAAAACCGAATTTAAAATATAATAAAATAAACTACGATATATACATGTACAAAAATGCTTTCTATTTCTTAATTACTTAGTCTTACTGAACATTATTTTCAGCTTATAATACTTATTCACAATTAACTAATAGGAACCCCAAACATTACCACACTTCTTCAACTGAATAACTGGCAGGGCGCCACATCTTCGATCTCCTCCCCATCGAGAGCCTTGATCTGGCACTGGCACAGAAACTGCACAATCTTGCGCTCAGCATTCGAGCGCTCCAAGGGACTCAGGCCGTCCAGCAGCATCTGAGCCTTGGCCAGAAGGCTATTCTCCGGCGGAGCCTGGCGCTGCTCCTTCTCCTGATCCAACTGCTCCTGTTGAATCTGAGCCTGCAGCTCCCTCGATTGCTGCAGCACTGTCTCCATGTTGGCTATCACAGTGGTAAGCAGCTTGTCGGATGTGGCAGGTGGTGGTGAAGAATCATCCACAACGGAGGCCAGCACCTCCACGGCGGGATGATGAACTAAATCCTCGCTCGTTGCTGGCGTCGTGGTGGTGACCTGCAGCTGCTGCTGCGGTGGCTCCAAGACCTGTGATTGCGTGGCCTCTGTGAGGATAAAGTCGTACGGCGTGGTCTGCTCTGCCTCGGAGATAATCTCGATTTCCTCGTTATCATCATAGGGCAGCTCCAGCTCATCTTCCAGCTCGTCGTTATCCGTGCTGTAGGGATAGTCAGCGCCCCAGATTTGTTCGCCACTCGAGATGCCCATGACTGTAGGCTGCTTCGTGGGATTGCAGGGAGAGTTGGTAGACTTGGGCGGTCGCCCACGTCTCTTGATATTCTCGAGGATCAGCGGCACTCCCTTGCGAAAGTGCCGGCCCAGGAAGAGCAGTTCCTTGAAGTACCGCCAGGTGATGGGCGTGGCCTGGTTGATTTGCTGGTTTCGATACTCCCGAGCGAAGCGGTCTCGCAACTTTTTCCAGCGGTTATAGCAGAGTTCCTCTGTAAAAGTGGAGAAGGTAAGGGCTAAGTAGATCTTGGTCATTGGAATGACTTACCTGAAACATTAAGGTTCTCCGAAATCTTACGCCAAGCCTCGTTTTTGGCCGCCAGGTTTTTAGAGACCCGAATCTTGTGGCGGTCATAGAGCACAGGATGCATCTTCACCAGCTCGATGAGCTGTTCGTTGAGCAGGTCGTCCTGGCAGTCCTCCTCCTCCTCCGCCTCGCCCCTGCGGCGCTTCTCCTGCTCTGCATCTGCCTTTGGCCTTCGTCGCTGCTCCCGCGTCGCGAATCGCATCCCGTCCAGGCTCTCGTTCTTGGCCAGGCCCTGCTTGTAGTGGTCCTTGAGGAAGAGCAGGCGTGGGAACATGTCCCAGTAGGTGGGCTCATCGGGTCGTTCCTGGAAGCGTCGGAACTCCTTGCCGAATCGGTCACGGATGCTCTTCCAGCGCGTAATGCAGGCCCGTTCGGAGGCGCCCATTTTCAGGGAGATTGCCTTCCAGGCCGCGTCCTTTAGCGCCGCATTCTTTACGCTCCGGGCGCTGTCCTTGTCGTACAGGATCTTGTGGCTTTCAATCAGCTTGACCAGCTCGCCGTCGTCCATTTGTGGCCAGGAGTATTTAAATTTGTTTTATTTGTTATTGTTTTCGGCAGCTAGCGATGACAGTATTTCGATGTCACTATCGATACCACCTATAGATTTACGTGAAGGCAATATATCGATATCAATATTTTAAAAATATTATTAGTATTTCTTGTAATATTATTTGTTTTTTTTTACAAATATTAATAGTAATATTTAATAACAAAAGGTAACAAAACAAAATATACGCCAAGTGTGACCAGGTGCTTTGGTTTTTGTTATATTTGGTATTTATTTAAGGTTTAAACATAATTAAAATAAATAAAAATAATTTTTAAAAAAATTTACTATACGAAAAAATATAACTTAAAATTAGAGGAAACAGCTTTTAAAAAAAATGTTGACAGAAATCTCAACTTCGGTAAAAAAATTACATTTTTCTTGAACCTTTGTTTTTCATATAGTTGCATTACAAAGTTTACAAATTAAATATAAAATAAACTACACCATATTTCAGATAAAAATAAAAAGCATACGAAACGGACATAAACGGATAAATATTTAAAATTTATTTCATTTAAATAGTTCCTGTCATTCCGTTGAAATTCGTGTTTTTTAAAAGCTGTCTACGGAAGTGACTACTGTTTTTGTAGCGTGAGAATTTTTATTATTTTTTTAAATATCTGGAATTCGAGCAAATGCTTAAAATCAACATATCAGCAAATTATAGGCATAGAAAAGAGCTATAGGTTAACATTTATTTAAAAACAATAAACCAATTCTAGATATGTACGTTTTTTTATTTTTGCTTTGACTACCTACGAATGTGGCTTTCGACATTATTTACATATATTTCCATATGGCAAATGAAAACTTTATTTACTCTGTTAAATAAATCATTATCAAAACAAATATTTACATATTTTTGTCTTTATAAATAAAATATTACATACCGGTTTTCCCTCTTTACTGACCATCTTTTGTGAGACCCTTTACAGCCAATACCAGCTATTGTCAACATAGATATTAATTGTTAATTGTTAATATAGTAATTAACACAAAACTTTATTGTTTAGTATGAATTAACTGGTTAATGATCTCGTCTGAAACAGGTGTTATTACTACAGCGAATTTTTATTTCTTGTTTAACTAAAATATGTATTTCAGAGATAACAAAGGCTTGGCAAGGAACTCTGGTTTTCTGAAGAAATGTTTTTATGGGAAATTCTATGGTTTACCATAGAGAATTTTTGAGATTTTAAAAATTGATTTTTAATAAAAAATATTGGAATTTTTTTTTTTTTTTTAGAAATATGAAGGTGAAAAGTCACTCTAGTTTTCTAAAGAATTGTTTTTCCTGGAAATTCTAAGTGTCTCCTCTTATTGCAAAAAAGCTCATATATAAAAGTATAAACATAAATCAATACTAAAAATTCAAATTATAAAAATAATAATCAAATGTAATCAATCAATCAGTGCCGTAAACAATAGGTTGGGTGTTTTAGCAGCCGGTCGACCTCTCATCAGAGCGCCAATGTTTGCTTCTAAAAATTCCCCGAAATAATGGGGAGAGCAGCAGAAAGACATTTCTCGCGAGAACCCGATCCCGGAAAGTATTTAAAGCCGGGCCGCATCAAGTCGGGCTCATTGTGGATCGTCGCTAGCTGGCGATCGCTCGATTCTCGAGGTCAGTTTTCAAGAGTGCATTGTGAACATTGTGAAATAATCAAGAGAAATTTTCAAGTTTTAGGTGCTTTGAATAATTATTAATAAATAAATGAAATTATTTTTCAGTAAGTTTGTGATTGTTCCAAAATGAAGAAGATCTTCTTGTGTACATTTATCTTACAATTTGCCCTGCTTATCAGTGCCACCGGGTAAGTTGAGTTTTATTAAAACACAAATTGATTTCTTATCAGTCAAACATAAAAAAAGAAATATTTTAAAGTCATAGGGCATTCAATATACTCGAATTGTTGGATTTAAAATTAACATGCAGCCACGTATTCAAATTTCTGTGTTTTAAATTTGCATTTTTATTACTCATTATGTATATTTATATTATTATTAATTTTAATTCTGGAAATAAAAGCTTTAACTTAATTTCGTAATGTGTAAATAAAATAAGATATGAGATTATTGTGAAATTAGTGCCATAAGAATGGGAATTTTCGTAGTGTACAATAGATTTTATGGGTTTTATTTTAACACTTGAAATTTTCATACTATTAAAGTTAGTCGTTAAATTATTTGTATGACTGCGCGTCTCAAACAGAAATATAAACTTGAGTAAATCCACGTCAGTCAGAAATTAGTATCAATATACATGAAAAAACAATTAAATATTTGACATCCGCTAACGATCCTCATTACTCAGTCACTATTTCTCAAAAAATAAATTATAACTCTATTGCAGGTTCTATTCGGTGGTTGGGCCTGGCACCATCCGCTCCAACTCCAAGTATAATGTCGCCGTCTCCGTCCACAAGGCAGATGGACCTAGTCACATAAAAGTCAGTCTGAACGGACCCTCCTTCAATGAGACCAAGGAAATCGAAGTGTCGCCAATGTCCACGAAGAATGTGGAGTTCGAGGTGCCAAATCTGGCCACTGGGGACTACAACCTGACCGCCGAGGGTGTATCCGGGGTGGTGTTCAAGAACTCTACCAAACTAAATTATGCCAACGAGAAGCCCTCGACCTTCGTTCAGACCGACAAGGCCACCTACAAGCCAGCTGACCTGGTGCAATTCCGCATCCTCTTCCTGGATGAGAACACCCGACCCGCCAAGATCGAGAAGCCCATTTCGGTTGTGATTACCGACGGGGCCCAGAACAGGATCAAGCAGTTTACGGACGTCAAGTTGACCAAGGGAGTTTATTCCGGGGAGCTCCAACTGTCCGAGCAACCTGTCCTGGGCACCTGGAAGATCTCGGTCAGTGTGGATGGCGAAAACAGGGCGAGCAAGAACTTTGAGGTGGACAAGTACGTGCTGCCCAAGTTCGAGGTGACCATAGACACCGCCAAGGACGTGGTGATAGCAGACCAAGTGATCAAGGCGACTATCAGGGCCAAGTACACCTATGGAAAGCCGGTTAAGGGAAAGGCAACTGTTTCAATAGAGCAGACCAATCGCTATGACTATAATACACCAATAAAGCAGGAGACGACAGTCGATGTGGATGGAAAGGGTCATGTAGAGTTTGATATTAAGTACCTCCAAAACCGTCATTGGAACCCACCCATGCGAATCTTTGCCGTTTTAACCGAGGAACTGACTGGAAACCAACAGAATGGCACTGCCACAGTAAACCTGCATCGGGATCGATATAAGATTGAAGCCGTTGAAAAGCCCGAATACTTCCATCCGAACAAGTCGTTTGTCTATCAGGTTGTGGTGAAGAATGTGGACGGATCTCCGGTTACGGGTTCTACGAAGAAGGTCAATCTGGCCTTCGAGAATGGCTTTCGCTTTTTTTCGGAACCTACTGATGGAACTGGTCTAATTTTTGATGCCCCGTTGAATGAGAACGGCATTGCCACCTTTACTGTAACGCTGCCCTTTAACGGGTTAAGTCAATATCGCGTAGAAGCCATTTTTGATGGAACTCGGAGCCACTTGGGAAGCCTGGCTAAATACCAGCCGGCCATAGACAACAGAGAGCCCCTTAAGATTCAAATTAACACTAAAACGTAAGTATTTAAAATGGGAAATCGATTAAATAGTTTCAATAACAATTTGAAATCAGATAAATATCAAGGTTAAATCTATATTATTATGTCTAAGCTAAATACCTCTTTTTGTATTTCAGTCCTCGATTGGGCGAGCGAGTTTCCTTTGATGTGAAATCAAATACGGATATTCCCTACTTTGTGTACACAATTGTGGCCAGAGGTAACATTTTGATCAGCGAATACGTGGATGTACCCGAGGGTGACAAGACCTACACGGTTAAGTTTACTCCCACCTTTGACATGGTGCCATCGGCTACGATCTACATCCATTATGTCATCAACGACGATCTGCACTTTGAGGAGAAGAGCATAGAGTTCGAGAAGGAGTTTAGTAACTCGGTAGGTTACCTATCAAGAATCCCTTTATAAATTGAAAATATAATTGTTTTCCTCTTAAATAGATTGATATCTCCGCTCCTGTCAGTGCCAAGCCCAGTGAAGAAGTTAAGCTGCAAGTGAAAACCGATCCAGACTCCTTTGTGGGCCTTCTGGGAGTGGATCAGAGTGTCCTGCTCCTCAAGTCTGGCAACGATCTCAGCCGAGATGATATCTTCAATAGTCTCAACAAGTACAAGACGTCGACACCCTGGCAGCGGGGTTACGGAAAATATCCAGGTCAAACCTCTGGCTTGGTGACACTAACAAATGCTCATTATCCATACTCCCAAGGTAAGTGCCAAGGTTCTTCAGAATTTAATCTAAAAAAGGTTTGCGTAGTTCAAACTTGGTATTTAAGCTAAATGAATATAGCTTGAGAGTGTTTACACTTATATCGAATTGAAGCAGTGAAGGCAGAGCAGCTGCGATGATTGCCTTGACTTTTTAGCCTCGAGGGAGAAGACTTTATCCATTCCAAATACTATTATCTTGGACGGAGAATATTTTACACATTCTAAATTACTTCGTAATGAGAAGATAACCAATCTGAGATTTTACTTATACTCAATAGATACAGAATATTATGAATTCGATGCAATCGATTTTCGTAGTTTGGCGATGCCTTTCAGAGTTCATCATTATTCTTCAGTAGCTCCCCGGATCCGAAAAGTATTTCCCGAAAGCTGGATTTTCTCTACGAAATAGTACGATACAAATTTTGTTGATTCATTTTTGGGGTTTCAGTTGCTCTTAACAAATAGCATTCATTACATCATAACACTCTTAACAAAGTAAAGAACAACGAGTTTCTTTAAAGTTTCAAACGTAGCAAAAATTGTTTTAATAATGTTTAAAGGCTAATATTTATTTTAGCTGCCAGGTTATCAGATTTGTATAAGCTTGCCATGAAAAGCTGTGAATTGAAATTTCAAATGGAAGAAGTTGAATTGGGAGGTAGCCACAAAGTGGATTTTGTGGGTTCAAAAACTAAGTCTGGGACTCATCCAATCCGATATGAATTTGCGGAACTCTGGATTTGGAACTCGTTTGCCAACTCAAGGTTTGTTGCATATTGGAATGGACATGATTCACCTGTGAATGTGCATCCTTATCTAATAGCACCTTCTAAGACCACAAAAATTTTATAATTTTAAAGTTGTAGTACTTAAACAAAGGAAAGGAACTTGGTCTAAAATTTTTGGGATAAATTTAAATTTATTTAAAAATAATTTCACTTAAATTGGAGCTTCCGAAACATCATATTTATAGAAATGTACATCACCGAAGACTATATATGGTTATACGCTGTGGAGGAAATGCCTGTTGCTGAGGCGTTTGAAGTATCAAACGATGTTTTTGAAACTTATGAGTCGGAAATTCTAATGACAGATACCATCACGCCTGAAATTCCACAGATTCGAAAAGAGTTTCCTGAGAACTGGATGTTTTACAAAACTGAAAAGTATGTCTAAGCCAAGTCTTTCACTGGGTGATTTAAGTGTGTCTTTATGCTGGTATTCTTCACTATCTGGGCTCTAACATTTTGCTACCTAAACTCGCTTCTCAGGCTTAAACACATTCTCATGATTTGTAGGAAGGCGGATCTTCTTTAGACCCCTGCAGCGCTTTCCGGGTCCACCTTCTGCAGTAGATCAGGTATTGTTCAATCGCTCACCAGCGGAGAGTGGAGTCGCAACACAGAGTGTCGTCACTGAGCCCCAGATTCGAAAAGATTTTCCCGAGAACTGGATCTTTTACAATCTTGAAAAGTATGATAAACTATAAACTAATCCAATTATCGGTATTCCCAGGTGTGGTAAATGTTTGTAACTAATACAACACTTTTTCTACAACTTTTTATTTTACTTTAAAAATATTTAGTAACTTTCTAAAGATCTCAAAGTTTATGTGGACACTATTTTTGATTTGAATTAGGTTGTTGAACCTTGTTTGCTTTCTATGATTCTGAAGATATAGATAAAAATTATTAGAAAAAAGCATTAGCATTAAACTTATTGAATTGGTGTCTTAAGATCATAACATTCCTTGGAGGCACTTCGACTACGACTACGACAACGACGAGATTGCCTTTCGAATAATTGGTGGCGGAAGGCAAATGCTAGGTGCACCCAGTGGCCCATACAATTACAGATCTTGGCCTGCGATCCGGCCGGCTATGCCTGTGGGAGCAGTTCGGCAAAGTCCCACATCACCACCAGCAGTCATTCGCAAGGAGTTCCCAGAAACTTGGATATTCGCCGAGTAAACCTTGATCCTTAATGTCCTGTCCCAACAATATCATATACGTCATTGTTCATAGTCCCATGGCCATTTTATTGTGACTTCTTGGGAAAACATTACTTCCTGATAAAAAATTGACTAATTATCATATCATCCTGCTCTGATAGTCGAAAAATGGACAGCAGATGAAAGAATAAGCAAGGCTTCTTAAAGACGGTATGACCTAATTCTTACTTCCCAGGTTTCCGAATCAATTTGAATGGGATTCTGACTTAAAATAGCTGGTTCAGCCTTGTTTGGTTTCTATGATTCTGATGATATTGATAAAAACTATTAGAAAAAAGCATGAGCCTTAAACTAATTGAATTGTTATCTTAAGAACGCTTTCATCCCTGGAGGCACTACGACTACAATGTACCTTGGATGTCAAATCGAATAATTGTTGGCGGAATGCCAATGCTTGGTAGAGGCGGTGTACCCGGTAGCGCAGTCGCTTTCAGTGCTATGCCTGCGATCCAACCGCTCATGGTTGGGGGAGCATTTCCACAAAGGCCTATATCACCACCAGCAGTCATTCGCAAGGAGTTCCCAGAAACTTGGATATTCGCCGAGTAAACCTTGATCCTTAATGTCCCAACAATATCATAAAAGTCATTGATCATATTCCCATGTCCATTTTATTGTAACTTCTTGGAAAAACAATACTTTCTGATAAAAAATTTACTAATTATCATATCATCCTGCTTTGATAGATAGAAAAATGGACAGGCAAAGAAAGAATAAGCAAGGCTCCTTAAGACGGTACCACATAATTTTCACATACTTCCCAGGTTTTCCACGTATCAATTTGAATAGGATAAGCTGGAATAGACCTACGTACAGGAGTCGTACCCGATATAGGCCACGGGGTAGAATTTCTTTCCGTACGTCTTTATCGTATAGTGCATCGCATTATAATACATTGGCTTCTGAAGAACGGTCTTATTATGCACCAGATATTAAGATTCCCACGAGCACCAGATCGCCACCGACTGCACCTCCTCCGGCTCCAGTTCGTCAAGAGTTCCCCGAAACTTGGATGTTCGCGAATGGCGCCGAGTAAATTCTTTAAAATTTGACCGAACTTTTGGGAATCATAATTCATTTGCTCACGACCCTTAACTGCTTATTGTTCTGACAATTGCTTATGGGATCCAAATTTTTGCAGTCATGATAAATAATGAAGAAGATTTTCTGGAGTTAAACATTAAAGGAGATTGTTTTATTCGGAATACTTCAAGTGAATGACATAAGGAGAAGCAACTGGACTGCTATTCCCATCATGAAGGCCAGTGCGGAACGCCAGAGTTCAAACAAAATGCGAAAAACTACAAGAAAGCCATCACAGTCCGAAAATAATCACCCTTCCAATGAGCAAATAGTTCGAAGCGAATTTTCAGAAACTTGGATATATGCATTAGCAGAAGATTTTTTGAAAGAGTAACTAGTCGCCCAACGCTTTTTAACTTATTTCTCACGCACGCTTGACTAAAACTACCAAATACATTCACTCCCACTTAATCCATAGTGTGTGCTCGTCCACCTTGTTTATTCCCCCTCAGCATAGTAGCTCAAAAAACTAATCCACTTCATTCTTTGCCACAGTGTGGATGGAGAGGGCTTCTCCTTGACCAAGAAGATCCCGGACACGATTACCTCTTGGGTGGTTACTGGCTTCTCACTGAACCCCACCTCGGGTATTGCCCTGACCAAGAACCCCAGCAAGATTCGAGTGTTCCAGCCATTCTTTGTGTCCACCAACCTTCCGTATTCCGTTAAGAGGGGTAAGTGCAATCTTTGAAAAAATAACCCCAATTATTTGTTAAATGCATTTAATCTCGATTGCAGGCGAAGTGATTGCCGTTCCCGTTGTGATATTCAACTATCTCGACAAGACTGTCGACGCGGAGGTCGTTATGGATAACTCCGACAAGGAATATGAGTTCACCGAGGCCACCAATGAGGTCTTGGAGAAGGCCATTGATGAGGTGCGTCGCGTCAAACGGGTTACGATCCCGGCTAACAGTGGCAAGAGCGTTTCCTTCATGATCCGACCGAAGAACGTGGGATCCACCACCCTCAAAATCACGGCTACCTCGCCACTAGCGGGAGACACCATCCACCAGAAATTGAAGGTAGAGCCAGAGGGAGTCACACAGTTCGAGAACCGGGCGGTCTTCATCAACCTGAAGGATCAGCCGGAGGTTTCCCAGTCCCTGGAGGCGGAGATACCCGCCGAAGCTGTGCCTCAGTCCGAGTTCATAGAGTTTTCTGTGGTGGGCGATCTGCTGGGCCCCACGCTCCAGAATCTTGACAACTTGGTGCGCATGCCTTACGGCTGCGGAGAGCAGAACATGGTTAACTTCGTTCCCAACATCCTGGTGCTAAAGTATCTGGAGGTCACCGGCCGACGCATGCCGGCTGTCGAGACCAAGGCCAAGAAGTTCCTGGAGATCGGCTACCAGAGAGAGCTGACCTACAAGCACGATGACGGGTCCTACAGCGCCTTTGGCAAGTCGGATCCCGCTGGAAGCACCTGGCTCACCGCCTACGTGATGCGCTCCTTCCACCAGGCTGGGAAGTACACTGATGTGGATCCCAAGGTCGTGACCGCAGGCCTCGACTTCCTCGCCTCAAAGCAGAAAGAGAGCGGCGAGTTCCCAGAGCTGGGAAAGCTCTTCGACAACTCAAACCAAAATGCCCTGGCACTCACCTCGTTCGTCCTGCTGGCCTTCTTCGAGAATGATGTGAGTAACTTTTCCCACCCAAGAATGAATAATTAATGACGTGACTTATTTTCCCTAGGAACTCATTCCGAAGTACCAGAGTGCGATCGAGAAGGCGGTTCGCTATGTGGCCGAGGAGGTGGACAAGACGGACGACCAGTATTCCCTGGCTATTGCCGCCGTTGCTCTTCAGCTGGCTAAGCACCCGCAGGCGGAGAAGGTTTTGGCCAAGTTGGAGGGAGTGGCTCGGAATGAGAACGATAGGAAGTGGTGGTCCAAGGCTCCAGAAACGACTGGGGAGAACAGCCGTATCTTCCACTGGAAGCCACGCAGCAATGACGTAGAGATCACCTCCTATGTGCTGCTCGCTCTGCTCGAGAAGGAACCCGCGGAGAAGGCCCTGCCCATCATCAAATGGCTGATCTCTCAACGCAACAGCAACGGAGGGTTCTCCTCCACCCAGGACACTGTGATTGGTCTGCAGGCCCTGACCAAGTTCGCCTTCAAGACTGGCTCTGGATCTGGCACCATGGACATCGAGTTCGTGTCATCGCCGGATGGCGGATCCAAGGAATCGATCGCTGTGAACCCGGAGAACTCCTTGGTATTGCAGACCCATGTGCTGCCGAAAACCACTCGCAAGGTGGACTTCACGGCGAAGGGCTCTGGATCTGCGATGGTGCAGTTCTCGTACCGCTACAACCTGGCCGAGAAGGAGAAGAAGCCAAGCTTCAAGGTCACGCCCACGGTCAAGGACTCGCCTAGCCAACTGCTGGTGGTGGACATCTGCGCCGAGTACATTCCTCTGGAGGAAGGCGACAAGGACAAGGACTCAAACATGGCTGTCATGGAGATCGCCCTGCCTTCCGGTTACGTGGGAGATGCCGACAGCCTGGGCAAGATCGAGGCCGTGGACCGCGTGAAGCGGGTGGAGACCAAGAACGCCGACTCCACGGTGGTCGTCTACTTCGACAGCCTGACTCCCGGGGACGTGAGGTGCCTGCCAGTGGAGGCCTCCAAGGCTCACGCGGTGGCCAAGCAGAAGCCAGCCTCCGTCTCCCTCTACGACTACTACGACACGGAGCGCAAGGCCACCGAGTACTACCAGGTGAAGTCCTCGCTCTGCGACATTTGCGAGGGCTCTGACTGCGGAGAGGGCTGCAAGAAAGAATAGTTGGTAGAAAATAAATAAAATGTAGTTTGTTTAGCAGACTATCTGTAAAAGTCGGTTGCTTGAGAAAACTGTAATACAAATAAAATGGTTTTAAAGATTAAATTGTTTGAGAGTTAATTATTCAGTGTATAAGCACATTAAATCAATAAAAGAAACCTGCAATGATTTGTTATTGTTTTATGAATAAATCAACAAAAACAATAATTAAATTTAAAAAAAACTATAATTTCCCACAGTCTTCTCTTATCAGTAAGCTGAAACCCCAAGTAGCCCTCCTCAATTAGCGGGCAACAAAAGAGCCCAATATGCGAGTATAAACAAATGTATCATCAGTGACGTAAACGAGAGATTTTATTTGTTTATTTTACCGGTTGGTTGAGCCTGTTCGTGTCGATCTATCAGAGCACTTCGTTTTACTACTGAAATTCCCCGAAACAATAAAGAGAGAGAGAGCTGGAGAGAGAGGTAGAAATATCTCTCGAGAGAGACCAGATCCACCGATCTCCCAACGGATCGTATTTAAAGCCGGTCTCGCACCAAGCCGAGCTCATTGTGGAACGTCTCCAGCTCGCGATCGCTCGATTCTCGTGGTCAGTGTTTTCGGATTACCTAAGTCACGCCAGTGACCAGGCTCATAAAAACCCATCTGCGAAATAATAAACAAAATTATTCAAGCCTCATATTCATACAATTGTATGCGGCGACCATAAAAAAAATCATTTATATTTTCAGCTCGCGTGTGAAAGCCCCAAAATGCTGAGGATCTTTCTGTGCGGATTTCTGCTACAATTCGCCCTGCTTATCAATGCCACCGGGTGAGTTGCATTATATATGAAGTAAGGTTAAAACCTATCAGTTCCACACAGAAGCGGGGTCAGCAGACAGGTATTCTAAGTATATAAATTTATACTCAGCAATCGATGGAATTGCTTATGTCCGATGTGCAGCCACGTATCAAAATATTCAGGTGTCTGCCCGGCTGGGATGCTGATTCCCTTCGGAACCGGTTGGAAAACCTGGCTGGCGTACGAGATTAACGACAGGTCTAAAGATAGTTGTCTTCATTAGCTTAATTCTGGAAAGGTGTTTCGCTGATTAGCGGGAAAGCTGATACTCAGAAAAGAGAAAGCCCAGGCTTACATGGTTGTGAAACAATAAAATATTTAAATTTATTGCAAGATCAGAAGGGGGTGTGTCATTAACAAAATAACATTAATGTGTTTAATGAGCAATAAAAATGGAATACGTTTGTAAAAAAATAAAATGGAAAAAGCCGCATTGATTTGGTAACTCAGTTGTTGATTTTATAGTGTTTTTAGTTGTACCTGAAAAAATTGATTGATATATAATGAAATGTGATATTCCCAGTTGTTTAAACAAATTGTATTTACAATTACTGTTCACTCAAACCCCAAACACTCCCTCGCTTTCATAAAAGAATATGAAAGAGAATCAATCACTGGGCAACAGAATTACTGTCAGATCATTAATTACCCAAATAAACATGAAATTGCAATTAAGCATTTGAAGTCAGCTAACGATAATATCTCGTCACTCAATCACCATTTCTCAATTAAAGAATAATCCATTTATTGCAGGTTCTATTCGGTGGTTGGGCCTGGCACCATCCGCTCCAACTCCAAGTATAATGTCGCCGTCTCTATCCACAAGGCAGATGGACCTAGTCACATAAAAGTCAGCTTGAATGGACCCTCCTTCAATGAGACCAAGGAAATCGAAGTGTCGCCAATGTCCACGAAGAATGTGGAGTTCGAGGTGCCAAAACTGGCCACTGGGGACTACAACCTGACCGCTGAGGGAGTATCTGGGCTGGTGTTTAGGAACACTTCCAAACTGAATTATGCCAACGAGAAGCCCTCGACCTTCGTTCAGACCGACAAGGCCACCTACAAGCCAGCTGACTTGGTGCAATTCCGCATCCTCTTCCTGGATGAGAACACCCGACCCGCCAAGATCGAGAAGCCCATTTCGGTTGTGATTACCGACGGGGCCCAGAACAGGATCAAGCAGTTTACGGACGTCAAGTTGACCAAGGGAGTCTATTCCGGGGAGCTCCAACTGTCCGAGCAACCTGTCCTGGGCACCTGGAAGATCTCGGTCAGTGTGGATGGCGAAAACCGGGAGAGCAAGTCCTTTGAGGTGGACAAGTACGTGCTGCCCAAGTTCGAGGTGACCATAGACACCGCCAAGGACGTGGTGATAGCCGACCAAGTGATCAAGGCCACAATTAGGGCCAAGTACACCTATGGAAAGCCAGTTAAGGGAAAGGCAACAGTGTCTATGGAACAGAATTATGGATATGATTACAGTTCCCAGGAAAAGCAGCTTAAAACGGTCGACGTGGATGGCAAGGGTCATGTGGAGTTCGACATTAAGTATCTGCAAAACAGCTCTTGGACCCCACCCATGCGAATCTTTGCCGTTGTCACCGAGGAACTGACTGGCAATAAGCAGAACGCGTCTACCACTGTGAACCTTCATCAGGAGCGTTTCAAAATAGAAAATTTCGAAAAGCCCGAGCACTTCCATCTGAACAAGTCGTTTGTCTATCAGGTTGCAGTGAAGAACGTGGATGGGTCGCCGGTGACGGCCTCCGCTAAGAAGGTGAAGTTGCGGTTTGAAAATGCCCAGTACTATTTTTCTGGCCCTCCCACAGAACACGGCATAGATTTTGAGGCACCTGTGAACGAAAATGGCATTGCGACCTTTAGTATAACTTTGTCCGACAGCGAAGTCAAATACTATCGTGTGATGGCCACTTTTGACGGATCCCAGAGTACCATTGGAACCATCGGCAAGTTCCAACCCGTAATGGAGGTGCGGGATCCTCTAAGGATACAACTCAACACGAAAACGTATGTAAATGTTTGTAAACATCAACTGCCTGCCCTCTTATTGTTGTTTACTTTAGGCCACGATTAGGAGAGCGAGTTTCCTTTGATGTAACATCGATGGAGGATATTCCCTATTTTGTGTACACAATTGTGGCCAGAGGAAACATTGTGCTCAGCGAATACGTGGATGTTCCCGAGGGTGACAAGACCTACACGGTTAAGTTTTTTCCCACCTTTGACATGGTGCCATCGGCTACGATCTACATCCATTATGTCATCAACGACGATCTGCACTTTGAGGAGAAAACCATAGAGTTCGAGAAGGAGTTTAGTAACTCGGTAGGTTTCCTATCAAGAATCCCTTTTTAAACTGAAAATAAAATTGCTTTCCTTTCAAATAGATTGATATCTCCGCTCCTGTCAGTGCCAAGCCCAGTGAAGAAATTAAGCTGCAAGTGAAAACCGATCCAGACTCCTTTGTGGGCCTTCTGGGAGTGGATCAGAGTGTCCTGCTCCTCAAGTCTGGCAACGATCTCAGCCGAGATGATATCTTCAATAGTCTCAACAAGTACAAGACGTCGACACCCTGGCAGCGGGGCTACGGAAAATATCCTGGCGAAACCTCGGGCCTGGTGACGCTAACAAATGCCAACTATCCTTACAATACGGGTAAGATTCAGAGATTATTTACTTTTCTTTTTCAGAATTTCATCTAGATTTGAATTGGAAACAGAGTTGTAAAGAGGCTTTTGCTAGGAATTTAGGTTAAAATATTGACAGAGTGAATTTAAAACGATTTTCCATCAGACTTTCCTGATTATGTTGAAGATGACCCAGGAATTTACTTGGAAGAAGAGTTTGAATTAGGTAACAGGGGTCCACTTCCTGCAGTTCAAAACTTTCCCGGTAGCAGCGAGGTTCCTGTTTCACCAGAGAAGGCGCGTATAAACTTCGCCGAAGTCTGGATATGGCAATCCATTGGCCCAAGGTGGGTTCCCTGAAACTGATGCCACACGATCTGCACCTTAACGCACTGCTATCTCTGCTTTCTAATCACGATCTTTTGCGCAAACGCACTTCACTTTTAGGGCTGAGGCTGTCAATGCAAATACATATATTACTAATACTCAAGAATATAACGTTATTCTTGGGGAAATTTTATTAAACGCGACTTATAGATTTGAAGGGTTTCCAGGAATGTGTTTTGAAATGTGTTCATGAAAAATAATGAATACAAATTATAGAAAGAGCATCAGATGACTACGAATATGCTGATAATATACAATTTCGGGTTGAAGAATCTACATACGATGAAGAGCCAGACGATACAGACTCTTCGCACTCCGAAGATTGGGCAAAGAAAGCCCAAGTGGTGCGAAAAAACTTTGCCGAGGTCTGGATTTGGCAATCACCAGGCGATGGGAGGTTTGTTCTTGGTTTTTTCAGCATTATAAAATAACATATAATCCGATTAATCAGTAGGACACTCAGGTGGGGGCTAACCTCAGTCATTACCTTTTCATGGCAGCTAAAAATATCTAACTTTTTTCCTAATGTAGTCAAAAATATTTACACTAGCTCCACTGTTAGATGCAGTACTGTATTTGTCGGAGACCATTGAATATGAAGAAACTGACGAAGTAGATTCGCTTGTCTCAGAAAGTACCCCAAAATCGGTAGTGGTCCGCAAAAACTTTGGTGAAGTCTGGATTTGGATGTCCTCCTTAAATGGAAGGTTGGTGGCTATACGATGTCAAATGCATGACCAGCCTGTTAGCTTGCATCAAATGCTTAAGTCTGTGCAATGGGTAGCACATCGAGTGACTGTCTTCTTTATGCTTTAGACAAGGAAACTTTTAAGCACAATGGACCTCAAATAAAATAAACATTTTAAGAAGAAACTATATCTTAGGGAGGAATGCAACGGAGACCAAATCGACCCCTTACTAATGAACACATATATCCACGATTCAGATGCCATATTATACCATCCCCTGATATTAAATGGAGCCTTTCCGATGGCGATCGCATTTTCCCTTGCTGCACCTGTTGGAGTGGGTATAGCTGGACCGCCCACATTACCACCTAGCTTGACACAGGTTCCACAGGTCCGGAAAGAGTTTCCGGAGAACTGGATATTTTACAATGCGGACAAGTATGACGGACATAAAACTTTTCCCTTGGGTGCTTCGCTAGTGTCTCGTGTGCTGGGATGTCTTATAGCCTAACTACCTGCGCCCTAACATCTTCCTACTAAAACCTTCATCTACTCTTGACAACAAAAACTATGCTTCGTAGGTAGATAAAAAGTATCTGTGGGTTTTCCTTTCCAAGTCCTTAGGTATGATTTAGTATTAAAGATAATCAACTCTAAATATTTTTAGTACAACGCCAGTATTATCTATTGGAATTTGATGATGAAATGTATACCGCTTTAAGGAAGGGTACGGTTAATCGCGTAATTGACGATCTGATGTTTACAGGTCCAGAAGGACCTCTTCCTCCACAGGCAAAAATACGAAAAGAGTTTCCAGAGACGTGGATTTTCACACAGTAAATGTTTATTACATGATGCTACGGCTATGCAAGCATGTCTTTTAGATATCCGTGAATATATATTAATTTATCTTAAGATATAACAAATAGATTTTTTTAGGTAGGCTATTTTCCAAATATTATTTAAATTAATTTTCCAACTTTTGAAATTTAAAGTAATTTTCCTAATAATATTCACCAGTAATAGGCAGACTATCATTTACATTAAGATCTGGAAAAGGACCTAAGTTACAACCTATTCCGAGCTCAGGAGCCGTACGTCAAATATTTCCTGAATCTTGGATATTCTTTATTATTGCTAAGTAATCTCAAGTATATAAAGCCCTGTAATGCTATCTGCATGGAACGCGTTCTAAGATGTTATTAACTACCTTTTAGTGACCTCAGGAGAAAATAGATTAGAAATAGCAGAATACTTTCCAAATGTAGTTAATTAATTCCCCCAATAATGCTTCCTTAATATATTTTCAGTGCATGTTTTGATTGTTAACTAACCGATCGATCACACACACTTTATCTACTATGCTTGCTTGTTCTTCCAATATCATTTAAGCAATGTAATATATTAACCATTTTATTTACTTCCATAGTGTGGAAGGTGATGGCTTCTCCTTGACCAAGAAGATCCCGGACACTATAACCTCTTGGGTTGTTACTGGCTTTTCACTGAACCCCACCTCGGGCATCGCTCTGACCAAGAACCCCAGCAAAATCCGAGTGTTCCAGCCATTCTTTGTGTCCACCAACCTTCCGTATTCCGTCAAGAGGGGTAAGTGCAATCCTTGAAAAGATAACCCCAATTATTTTTTAAATGCATTTTATCTCGATTGCAGGCGAAGTAATTGCCATTCCCGTTGTGATATTCAACTATCTCGACAAGACTGTCGACGCGGAGGTCGTGATGGACAACTCCGACAAGGAATACGAGTTCACCGAGGCCACCAATGAGGTCTTGGAGAAGGCCATTGATGAGGTGCGTCGCGTCAAACGGGTTACGATCCCGGCTAACAGTGGCAAGAGCGTCTCCTTCATGATCCGACCGAAGAACGTGGGATCCACCACCCTCAAAATCACGGCTACCTCGCCACTAGCAGGAGACACCATCCACCAGAAATTGAAGGTAGAGCCAGAGGGAGTCACACAGTTCGAGAACCGGGCGGTCTTCATCAACCTGAAGGATCAGCCGGAGGTTTCCCAGTCCCTGGAGGCGGAGATACCCGCCGAAGCTGTGCCTCAGTCCGAGTTCATAGAGTTTTCTGTGGTGGGCGATCTGCTGGGCCCCACTCTCCAGAATCTTGACAACTTGGTGCGCATGCCTTACGGCTGCGGAGAGCAGAACATGGTTAACTTCGTTCCCAACATCCTGGTGCTAAAGTATCTGGAGGTAACTGGCCGACGCATGCCGGCTGTCGAGACCAAGGCCAAGAAGTTCCTGGAGATCGGCTACCAGAGAGAGCTGACCTACAAGCACGATGACGGGTCCTACAGCGCCTTTGGCAAGTCGGATCCCGCTGGAAGCACCTGGCTCACCGCCTACGTGATGCGCTCCTTCCACCAGGCTGGGAAGTACACTGATGTGGATCCCAAGGTCGTGGGCGCAGGCCTCGACTTCCTCGTCTCAAAGCAGAAAGAGAGCGGCGAGTTCCCTGAGGTGGGAAAGCTCTTCGACAACTCAAACCAAAATGCCCTGGCACTCACCTCGTTCGTCCTGCTGGCCTTCTTCGAGAATGATGTGAGTAACTTTTCCCACCCAAGAATGAATAATTAATGACGTGACTTATTTTCCTTAGGAACTCATTCCGAAGTACCAGAGTTCGATCGAGAAGGCGGTTCGCTATGTGGCCGAGGAGGTGGACAAGACGGACGACCAGTATTCCCTGGCTATTGCCGCCGTTGCTCTTCAGCTGGCTAAGCACCCGCAGGCGGAGAAGGTTTTGGCCAAGTTGGAGGGAGTGGCTCGGAATGAGAACGATAGGAAGTGGTGGTCCAAGGCTCCAGAAACGACTGGGGAGAACAGCCGTATCTTCCACTGGAAGCCACGCAGCAACGACGTGGAGATCACCTCCTATGTGCTGCTCGCTCTGCTCGAGAAGGAACCCGCGGAGAAGGCCCTGCCCATCATCAAATGGCTGATCTCTCAACGCAACAGCAACGGAGGGTTCTCCTCCACCCAGGACACTGTGATTGGACTGCAGGCCCTGACCAAGTTCGCCTTCAAGACTGGATCTGGATCTGGCAACATGGACATCGAGTTCGTGTCATCGCCGGATGGCGGATCCAAGGAATCGATCGCTGTGAACCCGGAGAACTCCTTGGTATTGCAGACCCATGTGCTGCCGAAAACCACTCGCAAGGTGGACTTCACGGCGAAGGGCTCTGGATCTGCGATGGTGCAGTTCTCGTACCGCTACAACCTGGCCGAGAAGGAGAAGAAGCCAAGCTTCAAGGTTACGCCAACGGTCAAGGACTCGCCTAGCCAGCTGCTGGTGGTGGACATCTGCGCCGAATACATTCCTCTGGAGGAAGGCGACAAGGACAAGGACTCAAACATGGCTGTCATGGAGATCGCCCTGCCCTCCGGTTACGTGGGAGATGCCGACAGCCTGGGCAAGATCGAGGCCGTGGACCGCGTGAAGCGGGTGGAGACCAAGAACGCCGACTCCACGGTGGTCGTCTACTTCGACAGCCTGACTCCCGGGGACGTGAGGTGCCTGCCGGTGGAGGCCTCCAAGGCTCACGCGGTGGCCAAGCAGAAGCCAGCCTCCGTCTCCCTCTACGACTACTACGACACGGAGCGCAAGGCCACCGAGTACTACCAGGTGAAGTCCTCGCTCTGCGACATTTGCGAGGGCTCTGACTGCGGAGAGGGCTGCAAGAAAGCCTAAGGGCTGGAGGGATAAGTGTATTTGCTCCGGAACATTAAATAAATACTTTTGAATTTTACACTTGCTTGTATTTTTTGTGGATGCGCTACATGCACCCGTAAAGTTTTCTGGTATCCACGATATACAGTTGTTGATTCTTGTTTCCCTTTAAAAGATACACCACATTTTCCCTATTTTACTTACTTTTTAAATTAAAAAAAAAAAATAAAATTAAATTAAATTAAAATTACAAAAAATATTGAATGAAAAGGAGAAAGTTCATTCGAAATATCAATTTAAAATTCACACCTTATTTTTTTTTTTTATAAAAGAAATTAGACTTTTTATTCCTTGTTTGCCCTTTGCCCGTCAATGAGCCTGAAAATTAAATTATTATTGAAATAAGTTTGAGCGTGTAGAAAGCGACTTACACTTGCACATTCGGTATCATTAGTTCCACAACAATTTTTGCCTCCAGCATAATTTTACGAAAACTTTTCTGTGCCCTGGGATGCACCATTATGTGGACTTCGTTTATCGATCGGTGCCACAGGTTATACTGAATAAAATAAGATTGAAAAATATGCTTTAATTCAAAAATGAATTGCTGATATTACTTACCCTGTCGTGTTGCTCCAGCAGTTGATCAACAGCCTGCCGCTGACTTGGGGATGCAATGCGGACCCTGTACACCGAATAGCCGTCATAGGATCGAGGAGGGGAAGCTGAAAAGGACCAGGCCTGAGCCACTATAAGAAGCAACAATACAATTAATGGACGCATTTCGACTAAACTGAGTGACCTATAAAATGGGATTTAATACCCCAGTTCTGAGGCGGTTCCGTCAACTCAATTGTAACAGCTGCTTTCGGCTGGGCTTTCGGAATTGAAAAGATTAAAATACATAAGAATGAGGCTATAGAAAACGAAACACTTGTCTGACATGCGACTGATTGTGTTTAATTTTAGGAAATTGAATTCGAGCATTATGTTTATTTTTTTCAATATCTTATAATTGTGGGTAGGGAGCTAATCTACCTATACGATTTTTAAGATAAGGCACCTTAGGAAAACTTATATCGCTTCGCATTAAGTTTGGCTATTGCCGCCATAAAAGCCATACATTAATTTCGTTCAAATATCTTTACAGCCCAAATTAAATTTTGATAGAAACGTGCCATTTAGTTATCGATTCAAATGGATGTCTAGAAAAGAAATAGTCGCTAACCACCGGCCAGAGAAGGAGCATGTTATTAAAGGGTTTCCTAGTAGCTTTCGCATTGGTTGGCTTGGTCCAAGCAGCGAGTTTGAGCCAGGATGAGAGGATTCGCTACGACAACTTCTCAGTGTTCAAGGTCAGGTACGAGACCCAAGAGCAGCGCAGTCGTCTTCGAAGTCTAGTGGAAGAGCAGAACAATGTCAGTATATACAAACCTTAAAGTTGATATCAAATGTAGTCTAACTTTAGTTCTACTTTAGTTTAAGCATTGGGGTGCAATCAAGGACGAGCTGCATTTGATGGTGAGTCCCGGGGTTCTGTCCCAGTTCAAGACTGAGCTCCAAAGGGCTAACCTGAGTGCAGAGGTGATGATAAGCAACGTTCAGGAGTGAGTACAAGTCTACAAAAAAAATTAAATCTATATAAAAAAGTTCGTACTTTACAGACTCATAGACTCTGAAAAAGAGGCTGACTCCAGAGCCAGTGCAGATGAATCCTTTGGCTGGAAAAAGTACAGCACACTGGCCGAAATTTATGCCTGGCTAGATGGTATCCTGGCGGCTTACCCGACGGTAACTGAGGAATTTATCGTGGGACAATCCTACGAAGGTCGCACTATACGTGGCATTAAGATCTCCTACAAGTCGGGCAATCCTGGGGTACTTATCGAGTCAAATATCCATGCCAACGAGTGGATAGCCTCGGCCACTGCCACCTGGCTGATCAACGAGTTCCTCACCTCCGATGACGTACTGGTTAGACAGATGGTGGAGACCCACGACTGGTACATAGTTCCAGTGCTCAACGTAGATGGTTTTGTCTACTCCCACGAGAAGGTAATCCCAGCTTCATACTCTATATAAATGGTAATATATGTAATGGAAATATTTAAGGATCGAATGTGGCGCAAGACCCGCCAACCGTCGGCAGACTCCAGTTGCATTGGCGTTGATCCCAATCGGAACTTTGATGTGCGTTGGATGGAGAGTGATGGGGCCTCATCAAATCCCTGTGACTGGAACTACGGTGGACCGCATGCGCTCTCCGAACCGGAAGTCCAGGCTATGACCGATTTGGTGATTAGCCTGAAGGACAAAATCAATGTAATGCTGGCCTTCCACAGCTATAGCCAGGTCCTGCTCTCACCGTATGGCCACAGCAGCGTGGAGTTTCCGCCCAATTACGATGATCTGATGGCCGTGGCCAAGGCTTATGCGGATGCGGTGGCTAAACTGCCATATGACACCGTCTTTCAATATGGCTCAGTGGGAGGACTGCTTTGTAAGTTTCTCTGAAGTATTCTGCAGAAATCACAAACTAATCCTTGGAGGTTATTTTTCCAGATCCCGCCACCGGCGCCACCATTGATCTGACCTATCAGGAGGGTATTGAAATAACCTACACTGTTGAGTTCAGAGACACAGGACATTATGGCTTCATCCTTCCCCCGGCACACATTATTCCAAATTCTGAGGAGGCTTTGGCAGGCATTATGGCACTTTTGGAGAAAACCGAGGAACTGGGCTACATGAAGTCCAAGAAGAAATTATAAATACTATATATTTATAAAAATTCCAATGTGTGCGTATATTATAAGCAATATAAAACATATGAGTTTCGTACCTATCGACATTACACAAATTAATTAAGGCATCTGCGGGCAGCTTGTTCTGATTGATAAGGCATACGAGAACAAGTTATATCAATCGTTTAATAGTCAACTCTTAAGCACTATCTTTACAATCCAATTATGACTAACAATAGTCGAGCGATATAGCAATCGTCTGGCGTGGATTTGTTAAAAAGTAGTAGTCGCTGATCGCATTCGCAGCTCTAAGCATGGCATTTAGTAATTTCCTTTTAATTCTGGCGTTAACTGGCTTTGTCCAAGGCCTGAGTTTGGGTCAGGACCAAAGGATACGTTACGACAATTACTCGGTGTATAGAGTCAAGTTGGAGACTCCAGGACAGAGAAGCCTATTCAAAAAGCTGGCTGATGATCGGGAAAACGTAAAATCTCTTATGTAATATCGTCGAGAAATATATTTTAATAGCTTTTTTATAGTTCAGACTTTGGAGTGAAGCCAAGGATGAGTTGCACTTGATGATTAGTCCTGGTGCCTTTAACGAATTCGAAGCCGAAGTCCAGAGAACCAACTCTAGTGCAGAGATATTCATCAGTAATGTTCAGGAGTATGTATAAATTGGTGCAGAAAAATTGCTCCGGCATTATAAAAAATAATATATCATTTAAGACTAATCGATTCTGAGGAAAGTGCCAATCTTATGGCCGCCAGGGATGGCTCTTTCGGTTGGACCAAGTACAACACGTTGGCGGAAATTTACGCCTGGCTGGACGACATATTGGCTGCATATCCTGTAATCACCGAGGGCTTCGTCCTGGGTCAATCCTACGAGGGTCGGACTATTCGGGGTATCAAGATCTCCTACAAATCCGGCAATCCCGGAGTCTTTATTGAGTCTAACATCCATGCCAGAGAGTGGATCACTTCCGCCACAGCCACCTGGTTGATCAATCAGTTCCTGACCTCCACCGATGCGCTGGTGAGGCAGCTCGCCGAGAGTCACGACTGGTACATCGTGCCCGTTCTGAATGTGGACGGTTTTGTTTATACTCACGAGAAGGTGGAGTTATCTCGGAAATACTCTTACATTTTACTAAATTATTTCTTTCAACAGGATCGCATGTGGCGCAAGACCCGTCAGCCCTCAGATATTTCGTCTTGCGTTGGCGTCGATCCCAACCGCAACTACGACTCCCACTGGATGGAGAACGAAGGTGCTTCCTCGAATCCTTGTGCCGAGGACTACGGCGGACCGAAGCCCTTCTCGGAGCCAGAAATCCAGGCCATGGCCGACTTTGTTAGCAGCCTCAACGGCAAGATCAACGTATTGCTGGCCTTCCACTCGTACAGTCAGCTTCTGCTCTCTCCCTACGGACACACTGCGGAGGAGCTTCCGCCCAATTACGAGGACTTAATGTCCGTGGCTAAGGCCTACGCAGATGCTGTTGAGGGTCTGCCCTATGGCACTGTTTACAGATATGGCACATCTGCGGGTATTCTGTGTAAGTTTGTATTTTCTGTGATAAAGAGATCACTTATAGCTTCTGGTTTTCCAATAGATCCCGCCTCTGGAGCCACCATTGAGTGGGCCTACAACGAACAGGACATTGAGATAACCTACACCATCGAATTCAGAGACACTGGTCGCTATGGGTTTATCCTGCCCCCGGTCCACATAATTCCCAATGCCGAGGAGGCATTGGTCGGCATAGTAGCCCTTTTAGAAAAGTGTGAAGAGTTGGGTTATCTAAATCTCAAGAACTAGCTGCGAAGGCTGGGAAATTCTAGAGTGCAATGAATGAATAAAGATTAACTGCCGATAATCACGCAGCTAAGTTACTTTGTAGTTGATCCGGGTTATTTCAGTTTAGTCGTTGATCGAAATGCGTCTGCTGTGGTTGCTTGCCACTCTGGTGGCCCTTACAAGTGCTGGAGTCCTTCCGGACTCTGCCAAGGAGCGCTTCGATAACTTTCAGGTGTATAAGCTAACCATCAAGAATAAGATCCAGTTGGCTGTGATTGAAAAAATCGGTGAACTGACAAACAAGGTGAGCGAGTGGATAAATACTTCTGAGGTTCCTTAAGGTAACCCACGATTTGGCTTTCAGTACAACATCTGGAAAGAGTACGATGAGCGCAGCCAGCAGGTGGATATAATGGTTAGTCCTACGGAGGTCCAGCACTTCAAGGAGCTCCTTAGGTTCAACAATATCACCAGCGAACTGATGATCGAGAATGTCCAGGAGTAAGTTACGGAGTGGGGCACAGCCTAATGGTTAAAGCGAACCTCTTGAGTGATAAAATCGCTCGATTAGCCAACCATTAGTGCGTGCTCATTTGAGGCCATAAAGATTTTAATCGAACCCCCATTTAGGCTTATCGATCAAGAGCAAGTCACCGCTACTGCCGATAGCTCCACCTTTGGCTGGACGAAGTACTACGAGCTGGAGGAGATCGAGGCCTGGCTGGACGAAGTTCTGGCCAAATACCCCTCGGTGACTGAGGAGTTCATTGTGGGCCAGTCCTACGAGGGTCGCACCATTCGGGGCATCACAATCTCGCACAAGACCGGCAACCCTGGCATTTTCATAGAGTCCAATATCCATGCCAGGGAGTGGATCACCTCGGCCAGTGCCACTTGGTTCATTAACCAGCTGCTAACCTCCGAGGAGACTGAGGTGCGAAATCTGGCCGACAACTACGACTGGCACATTATACCCGTCTTCAATGTAGATGGCTTCGAGTATTCGCACAAAAAGGTGATAATTCGTACTTTCAAAATTATTCAGTGAACTTTACTAAATCAACTTCTTTGCAGAACCGTATGTGGCGCAAGACCCGCCAGCCACACGCCACTAATGAATGCATTGGAGCCGACGCCAATCGCAACTTTGACTCCCATTGGTTGGAAAACAGTGGCGCCTCCTCAAATCCATGCAGTGAGACCTTTGCTGGAGATACGCCTGGATCGGAACCAGAGGCCAAGGCTTTGGTCGAATATCTGACCAAAATCAAGGATAACTTTAAAATTTACATCTCCTTCCACTCCTACGGACAGTACCTTCTGTCCCCCTACGGACACACAAAGGAGGAGTTCCCCGAAAATTATGACGACATCCTGACCATTGGCAAGGCCTTTGCTGATGCCATCGAAGCACTGCCCTACGGCACCGTCTACCAATACGGGTCAACTGCTGATGTGCTTTGTGAGTGCTTAGTTATCCACGTATCCAAAGAACCTACAAGCATAATCTCCCTTTGCAGATGTGGCCACTGGAACCTCCGTGGACTGGGTGTTCAACGAGCTGGACAAGGAGATCGGCTACACTATTGAGTACCGCGACAAGGGACGCTATGGCTTCCTCCTGCCCCCCGTGCAGATTATCCCCAACTGCGAGGAGCTGATGGCCGGCATGGTGGCCTTGGTGGCGAAGACCAAAGAGCTGGGCTACTTGTAAGAGTGCGCTTTATTGGTAACGGGTAAACCAGTTTACTCCTCCTCATTAAAGTACCTCACATAGGAGGCCAGCAAGTCGTCCATTTTGTAGCCTTGGGTGGTGCTGCACAGCAGCTTGGAGGCCCCGATCATGTTGCCGAACCTGATGTGGAAGTGGTTTTTGCCCGAGCTCCAAATTCCCAGCTGGGAGTACTCATAGCTGCGAAGGATCTCCTTGGTTTGAGGGTCCAACAGATGGAAGCCGGAGCTGTTGATGGCAATCAAAAGAGTTTCGGGAAGGGTGTCCTCGTTTTGTTGTTTCACCACGAAGAATGTGGAGCCAAAGCAGCTGAAGTGGGAGAGTTCTTGGAGGAATATAAGCTTGGCTTGGTCCTCCGTCAAATGGTCACGGTTAAGTCTGGGCAGGATCCGTTGTCTCCACTCCGCCACCGTTTGCAGGGGAATCAAATCTTCCGGCACCAAGCGAGGCAGCACTTCCGGCAGTCTCTGCAGGCTGACCTCATGATCCGCACTGTACAAGAGTCCTGCCAAGAGCGAGGCCTGCTCGCAGCCAATGGGATAGTAGCCCTTCAAGTACTTGTGCAGCTCCTGCGGATAGCTAAAGATCACATCGCCGTTCGGATCCTCGCCTGGAAGATTATTGAGCCACAGCTTGCGCATGAAGTGCAGCTGGTAGTGGCCATCGGAAATAGAACGAAGAGTTTTTTGTTGTCTCAGCCAGAAGAGCAGTTGGGTGATGAAGTCGAACACAAAGTCCTCCTCCGGCATGGCGTACACCTTATCGCCGGTCTTCAAAAATATACTATAGCCCAAGGGCGACTTGAGCTCCAATCGCTGGGCAATATCTGCAATGAGCTCGGCTCCCCGGGTATGGGACTCGATCTCGAAGGCCTCGACGGTATCGTCGGGAAAGTATACTTTGTGGTAGATGTGCAAGCAACGCTGCTGAATGCCCTCGACCTCGATGAGATGTGGGGCTTGTTTCCTCTGACCCTGGGCCAGGGAGCGCTTCAGTCGCTTAAGGCAGGCATCGGCCAAAGCGTCGGCACGCATGCGCAGCAGGATGATCAGCTCCCGCATGACCAGGACACTGGGAGCCACCAAACCAGTGGCCAAGTAGAGCAGGTCCCAGCCCCGCTTCTCGCTCTCTACGCATGGATTGTCACTGAGCTGCTTCATCAGCTGGCAGTAGAGCTCGTCGCAGAGTAGGGGATGCTGCAGGGCCGGTTGGAAGATAAGGTCGGTGTTCACCGGCAGATTGCTCCTGGCAATGTCGCCCATGTACTGAATAAGAGAGAAAAACGGCTTAACTAAGGGCTTAATTGAATCTATTAATTTCCAATTTTACCTTGAGAATGTGATGGTGAATCACCAGGGCCTGCTGAAAGAGTGGTGGCACCTTGACCACGGCTTTGAGCAGAGGAGCCTTCAGTGGTTCCGGGGAGTACTTCGAGAGCGGTGCCTTATCGGATCTGAAAAGGTTTTAGCTTTAGTTTTACATGAGTTATCGGAATTAGCCCTTCTGCGACTCACTCTAATGGCTCCCTAAAGTGAGTCTCAGCCAGCTGAGAAATATTGTGCTGCCGGCGTCGCGAGTTATTCGCTCTTGGCATCGGTTTCGGCGGCTCATCGAATCTGCCTTCCTTGAAGATGTCCTGCAACTTCTCGCTTGGCTTTGTGAGCGTGGCCAAAATTTTAATGTTTCCAGCTGCAAACTGACCCCACTGACCGTTGGCACAGCCTTTGTACAAATCTTGGGCATTGCCAGCCATTAGTTGGGCACCCGTAACCCCGGCTTCAAACTCGACGAGGTCTCCGGGTGAGAGTACGAGGCAGTCCTCTTGATTGTTCTCCTTGGAAACATTATCAAGGGCTATTCCGTAGCTAGAACGCTGGCGGAGATTGTCCAGCATATAGTTTATCACCTCGTTGGCATCCTGGGCCATGCTGCACTGGAGCACAAAGTTGACTTGCTGAAAGGTGAGTACGTGCAGCTCATCGTTGGCCTCCAAGTGAACCTTGAGTAGCTCGGCGAAACTGCAGGAGGCCAGCACCTGTTCGGTTTCGTCGATGAGGAAGAGTCCGGTTGAATTGATGCCCAGCATCAGTTCATCGCTCGGAAGTTTGGGTCCCGCTTTTCGGCTCACCTCGAAGAGCCGAGAGTGCCGCATCGGCCAAGAAATATGGGCAAACAGGCAGATATCTTCCTTGGCTCTCCTCTGGGATTCCAGCTGCTTCTCCTGCTTCTCCTGCCTCACATACGAGCTCTTCTCGTAGGTGGCTGCTATCAGGCGACTCCAGTTCTCGATGGCCCGTTCCCCTGGCGCCAGGAGATCGCTGGGCACGAAGGCCGTGATTTCAGAGGGTTTCAACCGAGTGATGTCGCCCGGGCCATGCTCTATAAAGATGGCCAGGGCACAGACCATGGCTATATCCTTCTCTGAGCGACATCGGTACTCCCCACACCTCAGCCCATTGAGGATCTGCTTGTAGATCAGCTGCGTGGCCTTTGGGTCCAGCGATGGGTCATACCAGGTGGCAAACATTTCCTTCCGCAAGTAGAGCTTCCAAGGCGCATCCAGCTGCCGGCGTTCGCGCTCCGAAATGGCGTCTAGAATATGCTCCTTTCCAGCTCCCAGAGGAATAAGTTTCCCATGCAGCGACATCACCAATCCAAAGCCAAATATGTCGCTCAGACCCAATCCCTGGCAGAGCTGCTCCACTGCCTCCCGAGCCGTGCTGGCCGCATCCACCTGCAGTCTCCTCTGCTGCCCGTCCATCAGGTGAATGTCCAGCTTAAGGGGCTGGCGACCCCGGATAGCTTGGAGTTCGAACATGGACGGTGGTTGGCAGCGCGGTCCATTCGCCAGGGTTCGCTCCAAGCGCTGAAGTGAGGGAGCAGCCTGCAACTGGGCGGTTCCCTGTTTCATAAAACTGCGTAAATGCGGCTCGAAATCAGAGCTGGGCGGAAAGCAGCTCAGGCAGAGGGAGAGGAGCAACCAGCCGCGGGAATAGGAGGTCCGGCTTGGATTCAAGTACAATTGCTTGCATATCTGGGCCAGGATTTCATCTCTACGAGGGAAAATTGCTTGTTGTCATTGGCTTAACTAGGAGTAAGTTCTTCTTACCTCAAGCTCTCTTTGAGTATGCCATGACCTATGATGAAGTGCAGCTTGTCCAGGTGACTGCTGGAAATGTTGAGCCATTGCTGGTAGAACTCCTCGGCCTCCCTTTCAGCACTTCCCACCAGTTTGGTGGGGCGTTTAAGGGTTTGACGTACAAATAAACGCGGCTTGGCGGAACCGGAGGTATTCAGGAAGCGTGACAAATCAATCATGAGGCTCTCGTTATCAAGGGAATGGAAGGAAGGAGATGAGGGCACCTCTGGCAGGTCTCCCATGAAGCGGAGGATAGTCAACCAAATGGCCTAAAAGAAGCATATATTAGAGTTTTCCTTAACTTTAGGTTTGCCAAACTCACCTTTGACGCCATTTCATCCACAGGAAGCTCATGCTTCAACAGGGACTGCTTCAGGGGCTTCCTCTCGTGCTGAGCTGTGACGCCACCGCAAAAGTACGTCGCAGCATATTTCAGATAACTAAAGTCGGAGGTATCAATATTATTGGGAATCTGCTTGGGCAGCCGGATGGTGTCGCCGGAGGAAATGTTATTGAGTTTCCTCAAAGCAGTCTGAAAGTTAAAGGTAAAAACAGGGTAAACTCTCTTCGAGGCCAACTATCAATCGCTCTCCCACTCAACTTGACTCTCTTATACTGACTCCCAGAGCACTCAGTCTATAATTCAGGGGTATTAATTATTTCGACAGCTGTAATCTGAGTGCCACTTATCGAGAGGTGCCGCGGTCGTAAGCTTTTATAAATATATACGAGTAGGCAAGAGTACTGGGACTCCGGTACGGGTATGCTGCACCCGAAGATATGCCGTCCCGATAAGGACTGCGGCGATTATTTACGATCGCGTTTTATTCCATTTATCATTTGGTATTTGTTTTAAACTTCTGCCGCCACCTGATAGGTGACCACGCTTCTGAAAGTCTTGGGTCCCGTTCGATGGGCTTGGTTCCTCGAACTTAGTTGCTGAATAAAGACGACACGGTATGGATCTGCGTTCTCGGAAATGCTCTGGACGTCGCACGGCGAACTTCTTTAAATTTGGACTAATAAACCTCTAACATTTTTGTGGTGTGCTGCGGTCGTTTTATTTGATTAAACAGTTTTGGAATGGGAAGTTCAGTGATCAGGTGCAAAGGACCTTGACTAATAATTATAAAAAAAAGTATTTCAGTATCTATATGAATTATTAAAGGAACTGTAGCCGACAAAGGTAAGGAAATTGGCTCATAAATTGATTTACTGATAATCTGCCTTAGTGGGTCCATAAACCTGTCGAATATTAAATAAATAAACAAGGGGTTATCGCTTTACTAAATGGGAAGACTTTATAAACCTTGGAGTCTTTTAAGTCAATAAATATTGATTCAGTTTTTTATTCATTTTTAGAACTTCATAGAAGTTAAACGGAAATAATTTTAAAAAGCCTTTGAAAAAATAAATCAGTAATCAATGAACTTCAATTTAATTCTTGTGAATTAGGAAATAATAAACCAAAAGGTAAGAGTTAGAATGCCTAATCAAAGTTAAAATATGCATAATTTAAGTTGTGTCTTTTAAAGTCTCTTATCTATTGAACAAAATAAATCAGTCTTCTAATAGATAACAAAAAACTTTGAAAAGACTTTAAGCAGGTAAGATTTGTATGGAAATTTTAAGTCACTTTGGAAGTCTCTTATCTATGGAATAAAATAAAGTTCCATTTTTAAAAAGATAACACTAAAATACGCTAGTGTAAATATGCGCAGTAAGTCACTTGGACAACTCATGCCCAATGGTCCAAATTTCAAGAAGTTCGTGCTGATGACTCAAATGGTTCTAGGTTTTCTAAAGTTTAATGGTGAAATGCAATCCCTGAGGGCAGATCTGATGCGGGACGCTCACTGGACACTGGACACAAAGCACAAAAGCTGGATCGGGGAAGTCCACACGATCACTTAGCCATAGAACCAAAACCAACGCAGACGAGTAAACACACGAATGAATTGCGCATTTATATCTATAGATGCCTTAGAGGGTTTTATTTACAGAGTATAATAAATATGATACAATTAAAAAATAGGGGAAAGCTGTAACAAAAAGCAATCACAAGCCAAGAATATATGTGTATATACAAGCTGACATTAACCATATGCGTAAGATTTGTACATAAACTGGAGCCAAGTTGAGGAATCGGATTGGTCCATGTAGCCAAAGTCAAGCCTCATAACTAAATCCATATTCGACTTATTTTCTTAATTTCTCTTAAAATAACTTTGGTCTTCTTTAAAAATATAGAAATAAAAGGCTATTTAAAATCTAAAGAATTGCAAAACGAAGGCCGAAGTATGACTGATTATGTAGTTTTCATATAAAGAGTTAAAAAGTAAATAAATATTTTTTTATTTAATAGTTTTAATATATTTTTTTTTGGTTCAGTTTTCTTTGGGTTATGTATGGTTAACCGAAATATGAGAGTTATATAGTGAGCCAGATAGGATTGTTCGAGGATTGACTTTGTACTGCTAAGGCTTTGAACCAATCCCACTGATCAGGACCATGAGCTGGGCCCTCCCCGGTCTAATCCCCGCTGGCACCAGCTCCCCTAATATCTCAGCCACACAGCTAGACGCCTCTAGTTTGTTCGGGGCCAGTTCCAGTCCCAGCCCGGTCCGCTACTAGAGGCGGGTCTGGTTGACAATCTTTCGAGGCGCCGCCTCGTAATAGTTGACCGGGCGGGAGAGGAGCTTTGTGGGCACATCTCGGCGCATGAGCAGCGCCTGCTCGAACATCAGAGACTTCTCTTTGACATTCGGCCCCAGGGGACCACTCACGTCGGGCTCGTCGTTGAGGAAGCGGAACATCTCGTCGACCATCTGCTTGGAGGACTCCACATCGATGGTGCCGGGGCTCTCGGGAATGGTGTTGACCCGCGGGGTGCCATTGGCGGCACTGGCCGGTCTGGTGGCCAATGGGGCAGCGGCTATTAGGTTGGTGGGCGGTGGCGGCAGGGACATGCGTGCTTGAAGTGTGGGCGCTTTTGGGGCCTCCTGCTTCAGGGATCTCGCTCTCTTTGGCTGCTGTACTGCAGCCATGGCCAGGGCATTGCGGGTGGCGGCCTCAGCCTTGAGCCGCTGCTCCTCCTTAAGTCGCTTCTCCGCCAGTTCCCGCTGCTCGCGCTCCTTCTGCTCCTTTTGATCCTTGAGCTGCTTAAGGCGCAGCAGCTCCTCGGCTTCGCGTTGCTTGGCCAGCTTTTGCAGCTCATCCTTCTTCAGCTGCTGCTGCTTTCGTCGCTCCAGTAACTTTTCCTGGAAGTCACGGCGAACCAAGTAGCCACGACTCAGAGCCTGCAGTTTGATGGTCCTGCACCGGACCATGGTGAACTTGGTGGTCAGCTGCTGGGCCGCTATGCAGGCTCCCAGGCGGTGGAAGCCCTGTCGCATTATCTGGTACTTACGACGCTGCAGGCGACCCCGCCAATATCTCTGGACCGTGATGATGGCCTCGCGATATCTCTTCAGGTATCGCCTGAAGAGGACTCTCCGAATGCCCCGCTGTATGGTCACAATGGACTTGAGCATCAGCTGGGAGCGCTGCAGCTCCAGACTGGCGTCGTCCTCGTCGCGTAGGAACAGCTTGGTCTTGCCAAACTGTCGATCAGAGTCGGTGGGCAAAGCAACTTCGCAGATCTGACGAGCCACCTTGCGGCAGTCGCATTTTTCCAGAGGACCCACTGGTGGAACCAGCAGCCTGTATCTCTCCACAAAGGCACGGTAGGCGTGGCGAATGGGATAGCCAGCCCTCCGGATGCGGGCGGTCTCCATCATTCCTGAGTAGCGCAATTGCCTTACGCACAGCTCCTTGTCGAAGTTCTAAAAGATTTATAGATAGAATCAGTATAATTTAAATAATTCAGTAAATAATTTATCCTGCTGAAAATAATCTTATTCCTCATTTATTTCTTTTCCACTCACCTTTGGTTCCTTGTACTCATTCGGCTTGATGCAACGAATGAAGTAGGGATGAGCCTGCGACAGGGTCCGCATCAGCATGTCCAGGGAGTTCCTGAACTTGACGCACAACGTCGGCTGCTTCTTGGCCGTATCCATTGCCATTTCTTGCGGAAAGATATCCACCAGATACTTGTTCGCAGAGCGCTGCACCAGAGCCCTCAGATCACCGCTGAACGAGTCCCGATTCTTTTCAAGGAAACCCAATGGATTGTACATCACAACGCCGGCATAATGACGGATGCCAAAGAGCGAGGTCTGAGTGGTTTTTCCCTTGACGTAGATGGATCGATTGCCATGCTGGACATGCAGCTTCTCGAGCAGCGTCTGGTCCGTGCCCTTGGGAAACTTGGACTCCTCATCGATCAGGGACATTAGGTTCATTGGCTTTAGGCCAATGAGGTCAAGGATTTGCTGATTGTCCTGGAATTCGATGTGCTGCCAGTTGATGTGTTCGTTCTGGTACTCGTCCTGCTCCATCTACAAAATACCTTTAATTAGTAATTGGTAGTTAACAAACTTTGTAGTTGGTTTACCTTGAAGATGTGTCCCACGAAGAATTGCTGCAGATTCTCATTCGCATAGTTGATGCACAGCTGCTCAAAGCTGTTGTTGTCAAAGTTCTCGAAGCCAAAGATGTCCAGGACGCCAATGCTGTTCATGGGCTGATCGACCTGCTTGTTTATAGTCTCGTTGATCCTGCGAACGATGCGCACAAAAATGCCATCGTACAGGGACTTGACGAAGGCATCTCGTCCCTCCAGGGCTGCCTCCTTGGAGAGGCTGGTGGTAACATGCTCACCGTGCACAAAAATGGTTCTCTGGGTGAGGGCGGCATTGAGAGGAGCAATGGGCACGCCCAGCAATTGGGCCACTTTCTGCAGATTTGGCGCGTCATCGATCTCGGCGGCCTCCAGGTTGGCCACCTCAGTGGCCGTGAATCTCAGGTTGCCCAGGTGCAAAATGGCTGCCAAAAGACTGAGAATACTCCACACTTCTTCCGGCTTAAAGGACAGCACCTTCATGGCCGCCCGGATATCGGCAAAGTCCTTGGCATCACCCCTACCCGGCAAGGTGAAGCATCCTCCTTGGGCCAGATAATGATACTGACTAGGCGACTGCTCTTGTAGTTTAAGGCGCTCCCGTTCTGGAGCCGAAAGCCCCGCCAGCATGCAGTAGAAGATGTGATAGTTGCGTTCATCGCGGCTCTGGAAGACGATGCGGGACTTCTCCAGCAGGTACTGCTGGATCCTAGCTCCCTGGATGGCGCCCGCGGGCGTAAATCTGATCTCGATGTACTTCCCGAACCGCGAGGAGTTGTCGTTGCGCACGGTCTTGGCATTGCCGAAGGCCTCCATGATGGGATTGGCCTCGATTATCTGCTGCTCGATCCACGAATGCTTGCCGCTGATCGCGGCCAGGTACTGCAGTATCAGTTTGGTGCTCTCCGTCTTCCCGGCCCCCGACTCTCCGCTGATCACCACGCACTGGTTCTCCTTGAGCCGCTGTAGTCTCTGGAAGGCATTGTCGCTAATGGCGAATATGTGGGGTGGCAGCTCGGATAGCGCCTTGTTTCTGTACAGCTGAATCTCGCGGTTTGTGTAGATGGGCAGGATCTGGTAGGGATTGATGGCCACCAGCATGGAGCCTGTGTAGGTCTGAAAAGCAAAGATGTTATATTAATTGAAATCTTGGGTGCCTCATGGAGATTACTCACATAAATTAATTGCTTGGCATAGCGATTCTGTAGGTTCCTTAGTATAGTGTACTCCTGTAAGTCTCCCAGCGTGATCATGTCCTCCACATCCTCCTGCGAGGTAATGTGCATGGCCTTTAGGACATCCCCAGCCGGCACCCAAAACTGCTTGTTCCGATCATCGCACACCAGGGTCTGGGTCTTTTCCGTCCTCACGATTCGTGCCCCGAAAGGCACCGCAAACTCACTGGCGGTATTTTGCGGCTTCACCCACACATATTCGCCCTGCGATTAAAGCAATTAAAAAAAAAAATAAAGAAATCAGAGATTAGAGTCAAGGCATCAATGGGATTATCATCATAATCTAACCCAGTTAACATAGTCTTTGGTATGGGTAACAAATATTTTACATTATCTTTTGAGTACTAAAAAAACTGATATCAAAATATTAGAGTTGCCAGAGGAGAGTTCATAAATCTTGCCTACGTGAGTCTATAAACAGCACCCACAAAAGGTCTTAAAACTTTACAAAATCTTATCGGTCTTGACTGCATTCATTATGTGCCAGAGCAATGACCTTTTGGGGTAATTAATGAATTTTTATATTATTATTCTTGAACTTGAACCTATTTTATTCCATTTCCTTTGATTTGATCTATACTCAATCAGCGATAAAAAGCAAATAACAAAGAACTCCATATCGGTGTAAAACAATTAAGCACTGAAGCCCCCCTAAATTTCCCAAGATATCTTTAGGTTTTTATGGCCCGCCACACCCAAAGCGATATCGAAGTGCAAAGATATTACTTAATGGCTTCCAGTTGCGTTCGTTTTCTTTCTATTTTACGTAAATCTCTTAGAAATTGGTGATTTAAATAAGGGTAATAATGGAAAACAAACGGTAGCCGACTGTGCAAATAATTGTAGTTGTTGCCAGGTGTTATCTTATCGGCGGAATGCCGATACACAAAAAGTTCTTATCGGCATTTCGGGAATCGAAGCGGAGGAAACACTACTTGACACGGCAACCGAACAGGTGATAATTGCAAAATAAAAAGGAAAGGTCACCAAGGGTGGGTAAGAGCTTTTAAGGCTGAATAAATCCCTATTAATTCAGCTAGCTTAGCTCTTTCCCTTTTGGCTGTATCGATCTTCAACGACCTTGCTTATCTAAAACAAGATAAGATTATAGACCGGCTGATGTCATCCAGTGCCAATTACCAATTTGAAAATAGAACGGACAACACGCCATAAAAATCCAGACTAAATTATATTTTAAAACTTTCCTTTAGCCATAAATACTGATGGGCAATCGGACATTTCTGCTAATCGAAGTGTCTGACTATGAGATCACCCCCATAAACTATGACTCACGATGGTCACTAATCAATAAATATTTTAACAATTAGTCAACTAATTGTTTGTTCAGCACTAATTCATGGAAGTATTAATGAGAAAGACGCTCTGATAAAGCGACTTCGAAGAAGGACAATAATTTCCATTGAGAGTTTTACAATATTTCAAAGCCTTTCAGTCGCAATCCCAACTGCTATCAGTATCTCTTTCCTGTGCCTTAATTGGCTTTAACTTTCGAAAAGGTATTCGGGCTAAGAGCTCTCGCTTGAAGGAAGTGTCCGGCATTTATTGTTAACTATTTTTGGCTTCTCTTGAGACTTTTGAGAGCTCGTGACGGACGGCATCAGACGTTAAGCTTCCTGGCCGTAAATACTTTACGCCCATAATCACGGGCATTAGCACATTCCAATTAACACACGTGTAGGCGAGTGTAGTTGATAAGGAGGCAAGTTTAAAATTAAAATGAGCCTCATGATGGGCACAAAAAGCAGAGAGCATTGCCAAAGGAATGTGATAAAACGATTCGGTGTTATCAGGGCAATTTTCTGATAACCAGAGCAAATCAAATGGGAAAAACTGCCACGACAACCAGGAAGTCTTTTCATTGTCTCCACACACAACTTACATGTTGCCGCACAAACTCGGACATGGCTGGTTTTTTTTCGGTTTGGCCAATTTCACTTCACTCCACTTCACAGACACACGCGCGCGATGTCTCTTAATTGGCAAATATTTGCCCAAAGATTTCGGTTCTGTTGCCACAGCCGTTTCCCGTATCTCGCACGATCCAAACTTTTCCGTAGTTCTGCTCGCTCCGGAGTCTCGCAAACATCTGAGCTCCGCTCAATGGGGCCCTCGAATGTGGCGGAGCGGGTATATTGCCAACTCTTATCGCGCCTGATAATAAATATTGAATGCTTTTTGGCAGCCCTCCATATGGCGGCGCTCTCAGCACAGAACTCCCACTGACGGGGGTCTGCTTACCCCTTGGATTTTGCAAACGTCATGATTAGCCGTAGTATAATGTATCGCTAGGCATCCCTCTATGCCGTGGCTTATCAGGCGATGAGCCGGGTAACACTATATATATGTCACCATAACTGACCCTGCCCATGAGTCATGTGATTGGTCATATGTCTGCAGCGGACCTGCATAACGCAAGCTAATGCCGATATATTGCAATCTGGAGTACCTTTGGCTGCAAGGGGTCGTGACTAAAGAGTGGTAAGGCGATTGGGAACTGGGGAAAGAACCTTACTCGTAATTATATATAGTATATATTCTTATCGCTAAAATCCAAAGAAGTGAACATCTGTTTGGCGGGCGATAATTTAACCATTTTAGCAAAGATTACAGTTTAAGTAAGTTTAAATCTTAAGTGAGTCTTTAAATTAATGCCAGGAATTTAAACTCTATGACAAATCGGTTTTCAATGGAAATTACTTAAAAATTGTGACCTTAATATATTCAATTTGTAAAAGTTAAACATTTTAATGCAATTACTGCCTAAATCTTCAAGAATTTTCATTATAGTTTAGTGATAATAATATTTAATATCTACTTACATCTCATACATTTTTTCTATAGCTGCCATATATTTATTTCTTTGATTGACAATTAGTCAATAATATAAATTATCTATAAAATAATACATATATAAAATGTATATATACAATTATTTATAACAGCAAACTCTTTATTACGCAGTTTAAATTAATGAAATAAACACCACAATTGAAAGTAATTTCTGGAAAAATAAATTCCCTGAACCACGTTAAAAGAACGAAAACTTCTGGGTAATTTGGCTTTACCCCTTTTACCCCAAGCATTGTTTTTGATTTGTTTCCTATAGATTCGATTTCAATAAAGATTACAAAGTCCAATAGTTAAACATTTGTTGACTATTCGTCATTTACAGCGGCGTTTGGCTATCGGTTGCTTCGACAGCGCTTGTCATTTACTTTGGTAATTTGTTAAGCATTTTAATCATAATTGAATGGGTTTGTTTATACAGCGGACAGGGGAAGAGATAAAAGCAGAAGCGAGTAAACAAAATTTTAACTTCATGCTGAGTGCAATGGCTTTGTTTGTTTGAGTCTTATTTAATATCTTTAAATCCTTATATTATTTTAGGTATTACAAGGTGTTAGAATGGGGCATCCTGTATTGCTCATACGACACGTGGAACATTGATTATATGCCTGAAATCTTCAGTTAACTTTTAATTAAACAAATAAATAAGCCTAAAATTAAATACAAAACACCATTGTCATATTTATAAACCTCTACTTGTGTCCCCGTTATGCCTGTCAACTTTGAACATTACTCATACGCCCCGATGTACACATTTAAATACTGTCCTAGCGGATAATCATGCTGTGAGCTCTAGGAATGACTTCAGTTCACCTTTATTTGGCTGTCACTCAATTTTATTTTGGCCCCTCTCCCCATCCGAATCTACTGTTGCCTGCGACGTCATCGCTGGCAGTAGATTATTGTGGCCTTAGCAAATTGTTTGGCGATAAGCGCGGGAGCAGCACCAAGTGGCTGTAATAAATTTCAGGTGCCCAGGGGGACGCCAAATGGCACGTGCCGATGGAAACTCGGCTGGGTATCTGCGGCATCTGGGGTGTGACTTTCCCCGAGTGGAGAACGATGTAGCTGCCAATCCCGCCAGCTGCACGTATTAATCCCCATTGCCCCCAAGTCCTGCTGCTTCCCCTAGCTGGGCGAGTCCTTGGCGGAATGCAACGAACCCGAGCGGAAAGCTCGCGGAGCGGGTAAAAGTCGCGTATAAAAAGCGCAATTAGGATTATTCTGCGAGTGCGGTTAGCAGGAGAAGAGCCGGGGCAACTCAGCAGCTGGGCTAGCTCAGCTTTTGACCCAATTTCGGACGACAAAAGGAAAGTCCTAGCTGCCTGTTACATGAAGAGAAATAAATGGCAATTTGTGTTTAAGTATTTGAGAAATATTTTGATATTAAGCGAGGAATACTTTGTTAAAATTTTTTGTTTTTACAATTTATAATTAAAACACCAAATACATTTATGACATTCTTAATCAATTTTTCACTTGCATTCTGTTGGAATTTCCTATCTATAGAGTATTTTCATATATTATATTTTTAAATAAAAGGAACCTTTTCATTTAAAATATATTTTTTTTTTCTGCAAAGAAAATGTAAAAAGAAAACGACGCAAGATGACAGCAAAGACTTTTCACTTTCTTCTATGGGGCTTTTGCCGTCTGCTGGCGGCGCATAAAAATTCGATTAAAGTCGGCGGCAGCAGCCAAAGGACATGGACATGGACACCAAGCAAATGTGCCGTCATAAATTCCATGACGATAACGCGGCGTATGCGCAATGTCGAGCAATTTGTTACGAGTTGTGAGATGCTAGATGCGAGGTGAAACCAAGCAATCATCGTCAGGCGAACAATTTACAATGTTTGCCATGTTCCGCAGATAGCAGGCAGCATCGTTTCCCATTGCTGCACTCGCTCGCTGACACTGATAATTCACTTGGCGATATACACCGTCGTCGCACGGCACCCCTACCGTCCGCTGGTGCAGCCCCTCGAACACATTGTTGACCTATATTTGGGCATCAATGAAACGCGAGCAGATGTGGCCAACAAAGCAGCGCCTTTTCAATGCTATTGAGTAAAAGCTCCAAGTAGCCGCTTCGCTGGAGAAAAGCTACTGTTGTGACACACACTCTCTCTCTCCGGCGAAGCTTTGGGACTGGAAGAGAAAGCTGTTTTTCCCTATAAGGTGACTTTTCAAGAGATAAGACTATATTGGGTTGAGGGACTGTCTACACGGAGTGATAATGAATAATAATAATATAATCAAAAAATTATTTTTAGAATATGGGAAAATATAGCATGGCTGTTTACCTCCTTGGTAAATTTTATTTTATTAATAAATATTTACTTATAAGTTAAATAAAAAGATAACTAATAAATAAAAAAATATATCAGAAAATATAAAACGATAAAAAACTCTCCCCGATAAGTATAAACCCAACAGCTGACTGACAAACGACCGAGATATAGGAAACACAATCTGAAACTGAAACCCTTGCTCGCGGCAACTGGAAAAGGGAATCAGCTGGAGAAGTCCAAAAAGAGAGACACTGAGAGCGTGTTGGCCAGTGAGATGGGCAAAAAGGGTGTCAATGGAAATGCTCGGAATGGAATCTTATAGATACACTCGCTCTCCGCGAGTTTTCCGCTCTTTTCTCGGGGAGAAGGCGATGGCGGCAAGCGGCTGGCTGACTTTTCAATCCAGTTCGAGTCAGCCAGCGGAGTGGACGTCCTTCTTCTCAGTGTAATTCTCTCTCTCGCGACTCTCTCTCGCGCGTCGCGAAGTTAAAAGTGAAATTAGGTTTTAAAATTTTACTTAAATATATATTTTGTAAATGAATCAGAAACCAAAAGTGTAGGAATCGAAAAAATTGGAAAATTTCAAGTCAATTTGATTACATTTTCGGCTCGCATTCGGCTGGCATTTAAAATGCCATAAATTATTTAAGGCATTTATTTTGATTCCGTTGCGTTTGCTGTTGCTGTTGTTGTTGTTGCTGCTGCTTGGCCCACAAAAACAGAAATTGTTTGCCCTCCAGGAGCGACAAAAACAACGAGGAGCCGTGAGAAGCACTGAGAACCGACCGACGGACACCGAAAGGCCCGAACGGCAAACATACCGAGCTCGGGATATCCAAACACCAGAGGCACCAAAGACGCCGAAACCCATTCAGTCGCGTGAGAGCATCGCACATGACCGCACCGCTTCGCATCGCATCCTCGAGATACATCCGCATCTGTGGGGCGCATCCGGACTTCAGAGATTCATACGCGCGAGTGCAAATTGCAGCGGCCGCCTGTCAATTAACTGAATCCCAAAGCTAAGACCCATCAATAGGTCCCCAAATCGTAGGAGGAAGAAAATAGCATAGACCGGAGAATTCCAAATTGAAGTTGAGCTCAAAGTTCTCTTCTCACATTTTCCTGGTTACAGGTGAGTGCCGTGGCTCCTCGGATGAATGCCGAAGGGAAGGTGGTGCTGGGTCCTTTATGACCTATTTGGAAGTGAAGGGCTTTAAATGCAATTATTCGGAAACCACAATGGATTTTCCTAAACCGAATGTAATTAAGAATTCGGGGAACTTTCCATGTGGATTTTGTTCCAAATGAAAAGTATCTGTTCAGGCAAAAGTTAATTCTTCAAACTAATTAAAGTCGATTGATCGTTTAAACGTCAATTATTATTATAAAAATTATAAGGAATTGTTGGATATTATTAAGAATTATCATAGTTTATCTGTAAAGTTTTTGAATACTTTAGAGAATTAAATTAACATTAAACTAAGAGGACATGAAAATAATATATTGAATATACCTTTTTCTAGACCTAGTTTCTAGAAATGTACGATATTAAAATTAATGCTCAATGTAAGCTACACAGAAACTGCATTAAACTTAAGTTACAAAATAAATTTTTAAGAATTTAAATACAAAGAAGAACCATAAACTTATAAACAAAATATAGAATCTACAAAAACATAAATTCCGCAAAACTTTGAATGCATTTTCGCCAAGCCAGATTAAAGACTTTTTCTTAGTTTCTTTGTTGATTTCCACTTGAGAGCAAGAACTCCTCCGCCTGCTGGGAGTTCAACAACTTTTTGTAAGAGCTTTCCCCAACTTTGGCTCAATTCCGATTGCAATTTGCCAGCAATTCAAAGTAAATTTCTCGTTCGTACAGCATCCAGATTGCATGCGGGAATGATTATGAGCGCATATTACGCATACGCCCCGTCGGACACAAGCGGGTTGTGCTGCTGAAGATGGCGAGCAGTCAATGGTCTCTGTATAACTGTATACTTGCCCATTTACCCTTTCGGTAATTGCAGGAATTGTCCCTAATGAGACAGTTAAAAGGCAATCGTCAGTGCAGTTTCTTATTCATCCATTGAACGGAATCCTTGAGCAACGCGCTTGGCTAGCTTTGAATGCCTTTTCGGTGCGCTCACAATCTCAATTGGAATGCATTGCGCCGAAGGACATCTGCGAAAGCAGAAGGACCAAAGGCAGTGCGAAAGCAGGCCTTTTGCCTTAGCGGTACATTACTCAGTTTATGACCGGATTATAGCCGTAAACCATTTGGAAGTTGGCAAAACCGAGCCAGCAGACAGCTAATGCTTGCTCCTCCTCACCATTTTATGCATTTGCCCAAAGGGCAACAACACTAAACCAAAGAAAAGGAAGCTGGAATGCCCCAAAAATAGACACTTTTCTTTTTTTTACACTTTCTTTACACCGAAGGAAAATGGAAAATCTAAAGAGTGAATGTGGGATTGAAAGGGAATTATTGGTGATATAAATAAGAGTTTGAGTTAGTCTTTAAGCTCAAGAATGTTTATCAGAAAATAGTACTTTAATTTTTAAATAATTAACATTGTAAATAAATGTAATAATACCAACATTTTCCCACTGTGGATGTCACTACCCAAAAAAATAAAAAATACAAAACCTGTAAGAAGCAGTGAAAGGAAATTCAATTTGTTTGACCTATAAGGATATCCTTTAGGCCTTAAAGTCTTCCCGTTTACCTTTCGCTTTCCTTCAGTGCATGCCGATTCCCTTAGTTAACCCAACACAAAAGCGATTTGTTTTGCGAGTGTTTCTCGTTTTCATTGCTTCCTAGTTTATTGTGTTTTTGTGCAAACATTTTTATTCGATTGCCTTTGCGACTTTCGGTCGCTTTTCTCATTTGCTGATTTGATTCTCATGTTAATTTTGATCGCTCCGCCGGATCGATACTTTTATGGGCGGAGATAACATTTAAGTGCGCCCAAGTGTCGCCTACCATATTTCCGAAATTTATGCTAATTATGCAAACGCCTATGCTCAAGCGCCGAGCGCGGGGCGGCAATCGCTGCGTATGCGTAATATTTTCAGCAATATTTCCCTTTTTGTTTTGACAAAATCAACAAAGGTCGTGGTCTGTGCTGAGATTTCCTAGGCGGTGCGTCCAAAAATAGAAAACTGAGCTCATGGATTGAATGGAAGTGGAGCGGGAGGAATAAAAATACTCCCTCACCATATTGGCAGGGAATCCGAGAAGTTGCCTTGTCGAGGGCAAGTCTTGACTCCAGAGCGTTTGATTTGACAGGACGCCCATTACTCATGACAATGGACCATCTTAACCCTCTCCTGCCGTCGCTTAACCCCCTGTTTTCCCCACACGGCCTTCTGTATCGACAATATATCCAAGATATTGTCTGCGCTGATTTATGCGTAGTATTCCTTCCGAAATGTTTATTTTGAGCCCCTTTTTTCGGAGGACCAGGGAATTAGTTCATCCTGCCATGTTGGCCACGCCCCGTCGCTCACTCCGCCCCCATTTGGCACTGGGCTGGTTTTTGTGTGTTGCTTTCAATTTGTTTGTTTATTTCACTTTTCGGAAAAAGGTCAAAGTTGGCCACATTTTCCCTTCGCATTCGCTTTGGCCTCTCGCCGCCCATGCGTGTTTGCTAGTGTGTGTTTTGGATTTTGTGTGTTTTTGCGAGGCGTCGTTGTGGGTGGGCGTGGCTCTCGAAATTTTGTTTATGTATGTGCTTCTCTGGCATTCATTAAAAGTCCGTCCAGCGCCTGAAAACTTTGAAGAGATTATCGACTCGGCCAGTCATAATATTTATGGTGAGGCCTGTAAAAAGGTCAGGGTTTGACCTATGCCTACCCCAAAAAAAAAAGGAAGGAAGGAGACAAAAAAGAGGCCCATTGTTGCCCCAATTTTATAAATGACAATAACACATGATCTGCGATAAGAAAATTGAAATCAAAGACAACACCCCCTCACGAAAGGCAAGCTCGAGGAAATATTTTCTTATCGAGGGGCGGGGCCTGACATTTTACAAATGCCAGCAATAAAATTAACTTAAATAACGTTTATTCTGCGCATCGAATTTCACTCGCGAGGCGGTTGTTAAAGCCAGGCGGAGGTGGGAAGTGGGAGGGGTGGAGGCAGCCTTGTGATGGTAAATGACTTTGACAAGCAGCGGAAAACTCGAGAAGAGCGCAAAGGAAAATTCTGGCTAAAGAGAGAAGGCAGCTGGTGAATACTCTTTGTTATGGGACATTAAAAATTTATTTATTTACTTATAGATATATAATTGCACTTATTTTTAGTGCACATTAAAATTTATTTATTGAACAAAAATTGTCAAAGGAGTATTCATTTTAATATATAAAATATTGCCCAATTATGGAGCACCCCATATTAAATGTAAATATATACTTTCCTTTTTTGTATTTACTTATTTATTTATTTATATATACTACTTATTATACTATCTTCTATCCCCTTATGCTTATGGATAGTAAACTATTTTTTATAGAGTTATTTTTATATCTACACTTAAGGTTGCCTTCCCCCCTGGCACATGCATTATGGGGAATGGAACCCATCATGTGCGCTCTCATCGATATGACATCTCTCCCCCAGTGCCGCCCCCTTGGGTGAGTTATTATGACCTCAAGGCAATCCCCCTTCCGTCGTAAATCGTGGAATATGCAAATGTTCCTTGTGTCAACTCATTGACAGCACACGGCAATATAATTCTAATTTATGTGAACCTGAAATCGTTGCGTTTGTGCAGTGTCAGGCAAATCGAAAACTGGTGAGGGGACTGCTCATTTGCATCCCTATAGCAGGAGAACTAATTATAAAGTTTTCCAGTGAGCTTTAAACTAACTAAACTAACCCCAGAGTTGAACTTGAAAGTAGGCAACACTCTCTGTAGAATTACCCACTAAGTAGGCCAAACTTTAACCATTTTCTGGATATTTATACGATCGAAATAAGGTCAAAATTATTGTACAGGGAATTCAACTGTTGAACTATTCTTCCCCTTTATACACATCTCCTCGAATGAACAATTACGAATTCAATTAACAATCAATTTGCATAACAAACGAGCCAGGCAAACAATTAAGAGTATACATATATGTGTTCGCAAATATGTTTATTTATTTAATTGAACGACCTGACCACATATACACACTCTCTCAGGGTAATCCTTCTTGCAGGGCTACAGTGTGTGTGGATATTGGTTCGACATGCGAGCAACTTCCGTTTCCGCTGCTCGAAACTGAAACACAAATCATATTTCCGCTTCGCATTGGCAGGCCCCTAAATGCAAAAAGGCGAGACCGAAGCGGTTATTTCAGGTAAATGGCACAAATTTGTTGCCAATTGCGACTAATTGCGAGCAGCACAAACCTGCATACATAAAATACAAACAAACACACTCCTTTAATTGCGAAATGAAACATGGCGCTCGCATTTGAAATGCGCATTTCCGGTCCGGTCCTGCTCGTTCGCTGTTGCACGGGGACAGTTTCATTTATTCATTAGCTAGCCGGAGCCAACTTTCCCGGGGTGAGAGTCCTCTTTTGTCCTACTTTAACCCAATCCACAAAAAAACAAAAAAACAACGAGAGAAAGAGGGAAAGAGGAGTGATGGAAAAAGCAAACAGAAAACCTCAGCATGGAGCTTTCAACAGTTGCCGCTGCAGGTGGCAACTTTTCAGGCTATGCTCGGTGGGTAAAGGCAGCACACGGCAATCAGTATATACAGGATGTGCAGGATCCTTCAACGAGTAGCACATATTTCAAGTTTAATGAACAACTATGATTAATTGGAGCAACTTTTTGCTAGTAGGCAAAGTTAGTTAAAGTTTTTAGAACTTTTTCCCTTTGCTATTTATTGGTGTATCTTAGAATATTATTTCATTTTCCATCCATTTTCTTGTTCACCTGTTTCTCTGCGTGTCGCGTGTTTTTTGTGGCAACAGCTGACTATAGCAGGTGGGCCGCATTTTGACGACATTATTACGATGTGCGGCGGTGGCTGTTGCTTTTGTTGGTCCTGGCCATGTTGCCCTGTCATTGGCTTAACAGCTAATGGACTCAAATGGCCCTTGTGGTGTCCTCTTTGGCTAGTCCTCTTATTC